ACATCTTACTTCAAACTTAAATTGTGTTTTAATTTAGATTGTGGCTGATGTGTACAGTGCAAAATTTATAATATCATTTTTTATATATTTTAATACAATAAATTTTAAACATTTTTTACAAACATATGAGATTTTTTTTTTCAAAACCATGCAGTTGACATGGTGCATTTAAATAAGATTTATAGTTTCTTCATACGTACAGTCGTGGGCCACCTCGATCTGTAGTTCTGTACTGTTACTGTTCAGGGCTTTATACAACACATTGAAGATCTTCTCCCTTTTGTCAGGCAATTACCAAAAAAAATCACGTGTTTTATTTTCCAAAGTACATATACCTTCAATTCTTTAAAATAAGCTTATTTGTACAATTGAAAACATCGTACAATGAGTCTTTAAATATGGGCGTTTTATTTGTAGTGCACTTGATTCTTAATAGAATAAAGAGGCAGTTTCAAATTACAGTCGTTTTTGCATGTGAATTTCAATTGAACAAAAACGTCGATTCACAATGTTGATTAAATCTATTTCATGTCAAATATTACAAAGGCAAAGAGCATGACGGGAAGGTGCCCAGGATAAAGAATGCACGTCGTTATTTAAAGTTTTGGTGAACACACAATATGGCGACTGATATGCATATTTCTGACAAGGAGGATATTAGACTGAAATGTGACACACACAGTGATGACTTGCTCCCACTGTTCTGTAGGGACTGTGATTGTCTTCTCTGTAGCGAATGCGTTACTCTTAATCATACAGGACATAACCTCTGTAAAGTTTCTGAAGTTGTAGAATCTCATAAACACGAACTTCAAAGGATTCTGTGTTGTGATACATCTTTATTATCTCTTGAAAGGTGTTTAAGCCATTTACGAAGACAACAAAAATCTTTGGCCGTGCATACAGAAAGTCTGCTTCGTAATGTTTTAGACCGAGAGGAAGAAATTATTGAGAGAGTGAAAATTTGGAGACAGAATATGATTGAAAAAATCACATCACTCAGAGAAGCGCGTGAGGAACATTTGAAGGAAGATCAGATTATATTGTTTCTGCTCTACTTGAACATAAGGAAAAGAGTCTACACGCTGAATCCCAGAGGATTGCTTTAGAAATTTCATATCTGTGTTTTCAAGCAAAACGTCTCTTAACTGCAGAATCTTGCTCGACTTCTGATAAACAAATTTCTGATTTATACGGGTTTTATATCGGTCCTTCTGGAGAAAACTTATATGACATTTACGGGACATTGAGCTATGACTCGGATGAAGAGTACGCGTCAGATTCAGTTCCTCTCAGCAACGACAAAGAAGAAAAAGAAGAATTTTATGATTGCGAGGAATTACAAAAAAGATGTCAAGTGTTCGATAAGCCAATCAAAAATATAATACCATTGGATAGTTTTGGGTTCTTTATTCTTAGTTCCTGTAATGTATACTTTTGTACTTTTCATACAAGGAAGATAGATACGAAGCTTATTTTGAGCAATGTTGGGCAAATTGCTCTCATACCATCTACAGGAGACATACTATCAATAATGAGCAACCAAAAACAAATAAAACGCATTTCTAATCGAAGTATCATAACAACTTTTTTAGTTACCGAAAGACAATATGAGTTTGTCAGTTCTGGAGGGGATGAGGCGTATGCGTGTGTTTTGTATAAACAGAATAAAGACATTGGAAAAGGCTACTCCTGGTATACCTATGCTTGGACCTGTTAAACGAGTTCGGGGTGGTTTTAAAAACCTTTCATTATTGCATTGTCTTGCCCACTGACGATTGGAGGGTTTCAAAGGCGAATGAAAAAAACAAATTCTATCGTTCTACCAAAGATAGATCTCAAATATTTACTGGGGATTCTGGCAGATGTACTGAAGCTTACTGTGGAGCTGTGGGAAAGGATCCAGGCTTTCGATTTCATTTATGTGACATGATAACCGATAATAACAACAACGTCTTACTTGCTGTTAAAAATGACCATGCCATCCATTTACTGGACAAATCCTTGAGATTTCAGAGACTGATATTTAGTGAAGAGGATGGGCTCCGATCACCATCTAGTATAGCTCTGGATACTTCGGGTTATCTCTGGGTGGGCTGTGAAGATGGAGTGATACATATAGTGAATTATCAATATCTTCTGAATACAAATCGAATGTCTAGACTGAAATTAAAACAATAGGTGTTGATGTAAGTTTCAGCTTTTCTGGTCAAGTGGTTCTTAGGAAGATTTTCAAAGATTTTTTCTATATATTTCAATGTAAAACTTGGATTCCCTATTGTGGCCCACCCTACCCCCAGGGGTCATGATTTGAACAATTTAGAATCTTCTCTATACCCCTGGATGCTTCCATACATGTATGTTTCACCTCTTCTGGCCCAGTGGTTCTTGAGAAGATTTTTAATGGCACCACCCTATTTTTGTCTTTTCTTGATTATCTCCCCTTGTATGGGGGCTAGGACCTTCATTTTAATAATTTAAACTCCCCTTCACCCATGGATGCTTCGTACCAACTTTGGTTAAAATTGGCCCAGTGGTTCTTGAGAAGTTGAAAATGTGAAAAATTTACAGATGGATGAACAGCAAGACAGACAGACGACGGACAATAGGTGATCATAAAAGCTCACTGGAGCTTTCAGCTCAGGTGAGCTAAAAACTCTGAGTCAAGATCATGACAAACCTGCAGATCAAATCAAGTATATCCTCCAATATTTCTCCACCAGAGAGTTAAGTAGCAGACAAGAATTATTCTCTTTTCAGCCAGTGACCTTGAATGAATCTACCAAAATAAACATGGTTCAGTTTCATGGAATACTCTCAGATCATAAGTAATCTTTGTGTCTGGGTTTAGCTTTCGATGTTGACAGTTACAGAGTTACAGGACATGGCATGACATGTACAGTTACAGGAATTTTACATTAAAAACTTTGACTTTGAACTTGATGAAAAGATATTCAATCAAAATCATGACCCATCTTAATAATTAATATGTTATTTTTTTGTGAATTTTCAATGGTTTCTTCATTAAAAAGTTATGAACTATTCTTAGACTTGATTGTACAGAGAGATGGACAAGGTGACTGCTAAATACTAAAATCCTTACATGTCCTTATATGTTTCTGTAATTTTGCCAACTTTGTCTCTAACTTCTAGTGATGAAAAGTTATTAAGAAGGTTAAAATTTACAAAAGAAACACCATGAGAGATTTTAGAAAGAAAAAAAATACCGGTATGTCTCCTTATCATCGATCTAGAGGTATATAAAAACAAGAGGCCCAGGGCCACAATGCTCGCTTCAGTAACTTTGGCCTTGCCGTTTTTCACCTGATTTCTCTCTCACCCCCCCCCCCCCCCGGTAGTACTTATTGTGGCCCCGCCCTAACCCCAGGGGTCATGATTTGAACAATTAGAATCTACACTACCCAAGGATGCTTCCACATAAGTTTCAGCCTTTCTGGCCCAGTGGTTCTTTAGAAGATTTTTTTCTGCATATTTCAATGTAAAACTTGGATTCCTTATTGTGGCCCTGCCCTACCCCCGGGGGTCATGATTTGAACAATTTAGAATCTACACTACCCCAGAATGCTTCCACATAAGTTTCAGCTTCTCTGGCCCAGTGGTTCTTGAGAAGAAGATTTTAAAAGATTTTTACTAAATATTTCAATGTAAAACTTGGATTCCCTATTGTGGCCCCGCCCTACCCCCGGGGGTCGTGATTTGAAGAATTTATAATCTACATTACCCCCAGAATGCTTCCACTTAAGTTTCAGCCTTTCTGGCCCAGTGGTTCTTGAGAAGAAGATTTTAAAAGATTTTTACTATATATTTCAATGTAAAACTTGGATTCCCTATTGTGGCCCCGCCCTACCTCCTGGGTCATGATTTGAACAATTTAGAACCTACACTACCCCAGGATGCTTCCAAATAAGTTTCAGCCTTTCTGGCCCAGTGGTTCTTGAGAAAAAGATTTTTTAATGACACCTCCCAATTTTTGTATTATCTTGATTATCTACCCTTTGAGAGGAACTTGGCCCTTCACAATTTAAACTCTCCTTTACCCAAGGATGCTTTGTACAAAGTTTGGTTAAAATTGGCCCAGTGGTTCTTGAGAAGAAGTCAAAAATGTGAAAAGTTTACAGATAGACAGATGGACAACGGGTGATCAGAAAAGCTCACTTGAGCTTTCAGTTCAGGTGAGCTATTAAAAGTAAGATGCAGGAAAAAAACTTTTTGTAAACACCCTCATATTGCAGTGGTAATGGGATTATATCGTTGTTCCTTGGGGACTAATGTTTGTGGACCAAAATGTACATTCCTACCAATGACAGCTTTGTCAACTATCAGGTGATTGGATGTTTAAAATAAACTAGTTACCCATGAAATAACGTCCCCGCAAACCAGTAAAATTATGGTCAACCATGAACATTGACCTAAACAAATTAAAATAATTCCACTCTTACCAAATTTCAGAAAGATTTTTTTTTACCAAATCCAACATGCATGATTTATTCCAATACATGAACATTTCTAAATGTACTTTATTCTTACAAAGGATGATTTCAAGTCAAGTAATGGTAGTTACAGAAGTATACTTGAATATTGACAAAAATGAAACATACAATTACATGAACAAACATGTTATGTAACATAAAATATTTCCTCTCCAATACATTCAACATACTAAACTGTTTTTTTTAAGGAACATATGACTTTCATTCAATATGTGTATTTGTTATCTTTTTGTATGTACATGTATATCATTGTAAGTTGAAGGTTCAATCAACAGTCTGGTATGCAGAAGCCAAATTTTCTGCATTCTTCAATAAAATTCTCTCAATAAATTCACTTATACATCTTGCCTTTTATGAAGTCTAAACTTTTCATCAAACAAAAAACAAAAATCTTAATTTATACATACATATGATATGAAGAAAATTTGCTTATTCGATAGTCCATTAAAAGAATAATTTCTTCAGACATGAACAATTTTTCTCAAACCATTCGTAATATATGGATGACAACCATTCAAGTTATGTCTCCTTCAGCCCAAATTCATGTCAAGGGTATGTCCATTAGAACAAAAATATTATGCTGGTTCCCCAAGAGAAATGTCACATAAAGATAGGGACTACATGCTGAATATATGTCCCCTACAACCACGGATGCCAGGCTGGGTCCATTCTACACAGATTATCATGACTGTTAGCAGCTGCTACCAGAGTACTGACCCGGCTTTCTGCTCCATCAAATGTAGCCAAATCTGAAAATAAAGGGAGGTTATCAAAATGTTTATACATTATTGCACATATACAGCTGAACTTTGGAATCACAACATAAAAATCTTGAATACCATGGATATGTCGAAGTGATTTTGAAGTCCAAAATTCTTTTTCTTTAAGTATTTTACCATCAATACCTCAAACACTCAGATATGTCCAAGTTTTTTCCCCTTGCATGCATATATATATATATATATATAAGTCAGCTACAGTACATGCATGTCTGCTTTTCTGGATGCAACAACATTTATATACTGAAGAAGGAAATCAGTAACAACTCCTTTCCTATGCAGTCATCCATGTGAGCTGGAGCTTATGCATGATGGTTAATCACACTGTACATGTCAAGTTTTGTTTTCACTTACTATGAAGTCTAGTGGTGATGGCAGACACTGCTTTGTTCACCATATTAATCAGCTGTTCACTCTCCATGTCTGTAGGTTCTACTCCAGGTTTCAACTCTTCCTGTTTCTGTCAAAAATATACAAAATCAATGTTACAGGATTCAGCAGTCACCAATTGTATTTTTCAGAACATGGGGGTAGAAGTCTGAAGAAAGCAAAACCAACTAAAATCTCAGATGGAAAATAAATCTCAATATTTAGCAACAGGATTACCCTTGATCAATGTACATTTGTAGCCCTAAGGGCAATCCCCCAGATTTTTCTTCAAAGATCAACCCACAGTTCAGCTGTCAGTAGTACTTAATGAAAGTTTGAATTGTTACCAACTTATGGGTCATAACTGAACCCCTCCTAATTAACTACCATTTAATCAGATGAAAAAAAAACCCTTCAATTAGCAAATCCATTTAGATGTTCAGCAGTGCTTACTTTCTTATGCCATGTAATGTATTCATCTCTAAGCACGGCTCTGAGAAAACTGGGCAGCTTGTACTGAGGCTGGACCAGACATCGGGCAGAGGCTACCATTGAGGCAGTCAGTGGACCATTAACTCCGGTCATTGTCAGGAACTCAGCAATGTTGGGGGTCAGTCGGAATGGTACAGGGCGGTTAGCATCTAGCTCACCTGACAAAAATAATGTCAAAAATAGATAATTATACAGTATGTTGACAAAGTGTCAACTTGAAGAAATATTTATATTATAGTTTTATCAAATATAAATATCAAAACACATTAGATCCATTCAAATGAATGCAAGAAGGAAACCTACACATTGATGTATTTGAGACTTGCTACATGTACATACCATACATCATGTTGACTTCGTAATTACATATTAATAATGCAATTCTCTCCACTTGAAAAAAAATAACTTGACTCAAAAGTAGCTCATTTCCTCAAACAAATAATTCTTTCCTTCATACAGAAAACAAATTCTGTTATATAATTCTTTCAGAATGAAAAAAAAATTCTATCAACATGTACATATACCTTTACATGTACAATGTAGATCAACTGGAGTGTCACAAAGAACTACTGCATTACAACATTTTAACCTAAGCACTTTAAACAATACAATAATACTATATTTTTCCTATAGTATTGTCAATACCTGACTGGTCGTCAATGTCAAACTTGTAGTAGGAGATGTTGATGTAACCACAGTCCTGATGGAGGTACACCATGTCTGGGTTCATTCTGGTCAGGTGGAGGACAAACTCAGCAAATCCCATCAAAGCCAACTGGATTGTCAGCTGTCAACAAATGATACAACTTCAGAATAGCAATCAAAGCACAATTAACTTTCACTTTCAGTTTCTTTTTTTCAGGATTCCTTTACAAAGACGGTTTGGTTTTTCAATACCTTTAAAATTTTAACTTAAACACTTTTTTATATTAGTTAGATTCTAACCCCATTGAACTAAAAAAAAAATCTTCTTAAAATAAATTCTCTGAGTTAGATTTACTAAATCAGAAATAATATATGCATCAAAATCAACTACATGTAAATTTTCTTTTGATTTCTTTCAATGTACATGTAGTAAATTTTTTTAAAAACATTTGTTTCTGTAATTTCATAAATGAAAACTCGTAATTTATAAAGCACAATGTATTTTCCACCATTTGAGAACTGACCGTTTTCCTGAATGTCCAGTAGTCTGTGGCGGTCTGGAATGTGTGTACAGCCCATTCCTTCAGTAGACCCCGGGGGACCATGTTACTCTGAACATCCTTGAGGATGTCCCTCAGGACCTGGTGACTTGCCTGTGACCCCCGGGCCTGGACTGTTGCCAGACGCTCGTAGTACCTAGCAACAGGGGCATCATGCTCTATACCTCGCTTGGTACATCTCTGTAAATACATGTACATGTATGTAATAAATACAGTTTGCCTTTAATTGAACAGTTGAAGAACTGGGGATCATTCTGTTTATCTCAATATTTCAAATGGAAATTGAAATTGGGAAGCAAAATTTTTCAATCAACAAGAGGTTGATTGAAAAATTTTGCTTCCCAATCGGCTGATTTTCAAAACATTGTTCTAAACCTTACACTGTCCACCTGATATTCAGAATTTATCATGCAAACATTATCTTACAGGATAGCAAATTTATCAACATCACTTTCAGTCTTACTTTCAATACACAAGTACTCAGTATATAATATTAGCCACAAGTAAATCACAACAGGTAATAATTAAGGGTCCCAGACACACAAAGAATTTCAATAACATACATGTATAAATTTGATATAAATGTATGACATCTCAAACACCTATATTTGTATTTGTTAAATACTAGGGAGAAAGTAAAGTAAGTCTATGGTCTCAACCATTTTAAGAATTTGAGCCTCAAATTCAATATCTCTGACCCAAAAATCCATGTTATCTTGAAGGAATACTTTTTCTCAGTCCCTTTGAGATAGAGATTAGATAGAATTTCTACAGTAGAGTATACATTACAAGTATATCAATGACAAACCTGTTTATAGACATCCAGCAGTGAGATGGAGGCTGGATTATCCTCCACTAATCTCATCTGGGGGGAGATAGCCACAACACGGGGGACTGTGAAGTAGAGAAGTCGACGTAGCGTCTCCTTCTGTTTGGTCAAGAAATGATTCATCATGCGTAACAGCTGAAGGACTCGCTCCTCCCGACGGGACTCTGTCAGACACGCATCATTGACCACCAGGTAGGGGTACACCTGAAAGGTTAAAGGTCAGTAAATATCCAGGAATTTGTACATTGATGAAAATTTAAAATTCTACTAAGAAAACTAGTACATGTATTATACATAAACTGATTAATTTACTTTCATGTATACATACTTGTACATCTACATTGTACATGTAAGCTACAGATGTTGACAAAGTTGACAAAGTAGAAATATTGAATGAACAAGAGATGTTTGTGAAACAACTTATGCACCCCCCCCCCCCCCCCCCCAATAATTGGAATTTTCCTAAGTCTATGTGGCATAACTCTGTCAAAACTTGCTCAATCATACCCAAAACAGAACTTGACCTAGATATTCTTATGATGAATCTGAATGTTCACTTTGCACAACTTCACTCCCTGTGTCTCCTACCTTTCCATTGTGACCTCTGATGTACAGGCGTCTGGCTGCTGTGTTGTGTTTTTGTACAATTTCCACTCGTGGCATGAAGCGGGCAATCCGTACATAGTAATGGCTGTGCTGTTAGTGGGAAAATATTACATGATAGTAAAACACTTCAGATTCCAAATAAAACATAGCATCATCTGTTTTTCATATGACCAAAACTTTCAATCTCAGACTGTTGCTTTTACCTTTGGTAACAGGAACTCTCCTGGCAGTTCTACCTCAGCTGTGTGCTGAGAAAAGTTACTCAGGAATCGACATTTCTCTTCAATCAGGAAAGATCTATTCAAAGGAAATTGACAAGAACTTATTAAAAATTATTTATACTAAAGAAAAGTACTCTAATGCTCACATAACCACTGATATTTTGGAGTATCCATTAAAAGATCTTTTCTATTTGTCAACAACGTTGCATAATTTAAGTTTTAAAAACAAATATCATTTTAGTGCACTAATTATTAATCAAATTTACATTAGCTTGAAAATATTTCAGAAAATCCTCTCAAGTTTGATAATAGATATCAATAGATCAGAGTCCCAATATTTCATTAGCTGGAAACACTTCCTTCTCTGAGTTGACAAGACCATCATCTTTATATACTAGTATTCACATTATAATAACTATAAAGGATACTCTGTATAATATTTACTTTGGCAGTAGCTTGGTTTTAGCTTCCAGGATTTTGATCCATTTCTTCAGTTTGTTGATCAGATTGTGTAGCTTGGTTGAACCAGGGACACTGAAACAGAAACAAAGTAGAAAAATCCGAGTGAAAAAGTATGCAGAATAGATTATTTCATCCCAAATTTGCTTTTATACAATAAGACAAAATGATTCTCTATATACATGTATTTATGTCCTTCTGAATACAGCTTAATTTCTAGATATCTTGGATTATTATATACAATATGTAAATATGATTCACAAAACTAAAATCACAGAATCTTACTTGAAGTCAAAATCTGTGGTGAACTGGCTCTTCATTTTCTGGAAGACAGGGTCCTGAGCGGTGGCCTGAGCGCGGCGAGCCAGGGACTCCGAGGCGGCGCTGGAGAAGGTGGTGCTAACACTGGAGACGTTCTCTATCCCCACCCCAAATGTACTCACCAACTTCTTCACAAAGTTCAGTGTGTGTGGAGTGATGGTGGCATCAGCAACTAACAAGATAGGATAAATAGTCACATGATCAGTCACATGACACATGATTAGTCATAAGATTGAGTACTGGTAGATAAAATTGAGCAGAGATGCATTATAATTTGAACTCATTATACAGTCAAATTCAATTTTGTGTAAAGAAATGAAAATCTATCAAATTCTTTTCTACTAAATTCAGTGCAGCAGATTACATGTATTACATGTAAATTTAACTTTAAAAAAATAATTGAAGCCATATCCTTTATATCAAGGACCAATTTATATAAAGTGATGGACGAACTAACCTGTCAAAAATTCAAAGGACACATTCATCACACACAGACTTTCATATATCTTTATGGAGGACTAATCTAACTAGAACTGTCCAAAAGAGACAAACACCCCCCGCTTGGTTTTTCAGAAAAGGTACCAAATCACTAATGTTTTTCTAAATGTGAGAGGTGTTCACAATTTGCTTAAACACTTAGTGAAAATTTAATTTTTTTAATGAATAAAACTAAGATGCAGCCTAATAAAACATCAATACTAATAATTACAGCGTTTTTTTTATTACATTGAAAAAATAGCTTGCAACTATCTGTCATCTTTGTGAGACATGACACTCTGCAAATTGATTGTTGAAAAAAAAAATTTCATAATTAATTATACAAAATCAAATTGATCTAATTACCTTTATATCAAACTCATTTTAAAAATAAAAGACTGGTTCCAGTAACTATGTATTTTGACAGACATAAATTACAATTAAGAGACTTAGACAACAGAGATCTTTATTTCTTTCTGTCCAATTCCCAGGAGATATAGATAAGACCTACTTGATCAGAGATGCCCTAACAGCTTCCCACACTGAACTCATTAATTAATCTTTAACTGGATGCATGTCCACTAAGGCTGTCACGAGTACCCGAAATAACCAAGAACCGCGGTCCAAGTTGTTCGGTTCGGTTCCGGTTTCATTTTTCCGGATTTCGGTTCGGGTCTGGTTTATATATTAGAGTCTGTTCAATACAAAAAATGGCGTCGGAATCAAAGGAATGATGACGGTAACAGTGATAAATAAACATCACAACTGAAATCTACTTCATTCCATAACAAAACACTTGTCACGGAAGTATTAGATAATTATCAAAACGAGCAGGAATGGTCAGGTTGTGACTAATAGTAGGCCAAGTCACCGATGTCTAGACGTTCGCATGGTTAAGATTTCTTCTCAACGTAAATTTAATGTAACAAATAAAGATTTTTCAAGTTAAATTCTTGAAATTAAGGTTTAAAATAGATGTAAATACCCGACCCGAAAAACCTGAAACTGTACCGAAAAATTACAGACCCGACCCGACCCGAAAAATTTTGGAACCGTGACAGCCCTAATGTCCACTCATTACTCCAAAGGGACAAATGCATTTACACTATCTGCTATGTAATGTAAAAACTGTTTTTAATACTTTGTGATTTTGTTTTAGTTCTAATGAGTAGTTTTAAGCTGTAGTTCACATTTTTGTACAGATGTTCTAGATTCTATGTCTCAAACCTTAGACATGAACCTGAAATGACTAAGTCAATAAAAATGAAAAAAAAAAACACCTGTAAAATGCAGAAAAATTATCAAATAATTAATGTTGAAAATACCAGGTGCACACCTTCATATGGTAAATAATAAGTGTACAAATTTTCATACAAATCTATGCAATCGTCTCTGGGAACAGATCCGGACAAAACCACATAATAAAAATGAAAAAAAACACCTGTAAAATGCAAAAAAATTATCCAATTATGATGAAAATACCAGGTGCACACTTTTATATGGCAAATAAGTGTACAAATTTTTAGACAAATCCTTGCATTAGTTTCCAAGAAATGGTCTGGACAAAATCTCATCTACAGACAAACGGACAGACATGCTGATTCCAATATATCCCCCCTAAAATTCATTTGCGGGGGATATAATCATTAAGTTATGGACAAACTAATCTCTCAATAAAGGAGACATTTATCACACACAGACAGACATACCAGCCCCTCTGTTCTCAAAAGCCACAGCGTGACACTTGGTCAGTCCCTGTTTAAGCTGTCTCAATACTTCTTCATACCAATTCTCTCTGAACCACACCATCTGTGTAAAAACATCATCAGAATTCTGTATGAAATTCAACCCTAAGCAACTTTAGGCTAGCAACCCTAACAAGTACATTTGTATGTAGAAATCACCGTTAAAACACTCATCTCACAGTCATATACATGTAAATTTCGTACAAGTATACATCATAAATGTACATTATCACCAAATTCTGGTCTAAAAGACAAACTTAATGATTTTGTACATGTATAACACAGTATTTCAATTCAAGATAGGAAGTTGTTTTGAGCAAAATACCCATACTCTCAATTGATATTTGATTTTTTATCAGGAAATTAAATCATTTTGACAGTTCTTCCTCACCTGGTCAACAATTCCCTCCAATGAGTTGAGGATGGTGGGATGGAGCTCTCGCTGCAGGTGCATGATCTTGCTACACCTCCACATCGGGGCAGGGGCGCGGATGGGGCCTGCATCTGCTCCTCCTGCAGACCCACCCTTCTGACCTCCCTGACCGGCAGCCCCCTGAGAGGTGGTGCCCGAAGTTGGGACTGTGGTTTGCAGTGGCTCATCAACTTAAAGAGAGAATAAAAACACATACACTGTATTCTATGATATTTTCTATAATATACGTACACTTAAGCTTTTCTATTCACTAATAAGTTTTAAAATTGAACAGTACTGTTTTGTCCAAAATGAATTCTTTACAAAATGATTTTTTTTTTATCAGAAGATAATTCAATAGAAAAGTATGTGTATTTGCCATGTAAAACTTGTTTCCTCATACATTGTACATAAAAATCTCACCATCAAAACACGCCTACGGCTTAAATTAAATTTTCTTATTGTTATCCACCCACAATTTTTGGAGATACATGTATCAATGACTATGAAACACAGTTTTTAGGTAGGCAATTCAGTAACTCTGGGGGCTTTGAAATTGATCCTACTCACCAGTCAGAGAGATTCCAGGAGTGGTGGGGGTGGAGGGTACTGATGATCCTGGGGGACCTGATGAACTAGAGGTTACGGTTGTTGTAGCGGTTGTCGTGGTGATTACTGAGGACTGCTGGGTAGTGGAGGGGGTTCTGCTGACTGGGGCAGCACTAGGATCACCACTCTTATCTGAAAGTCATTGCGTGCATTCACCATCAGGTGATAAATTTCATAAAAGCTATCTATTATGTTTGTCACAGTCAATATTCAGTCAGTAAACAAAGTTATCAAAAACACTGCTTTTAAATATTCTTTATAGGTGAAAGACAGAGATATCTGCTTATGAGATATTCAAAGATAGATTTAGCTGTATCACAGAAAATGGTACAATACATGTACAAATATTTAGCCAAAGCATCATATGAAGTGTTCTCATCTCCTACAACACATTGAGTTTGAGATACACATGTACTTACATCTCTCCCTCTGCTCAATCTTGAGTGTGAGATAAAGGGTCCTGATGGGGAAGTACACGGCCTGAGGGTACATCCTACCCACCTGACTGAGGAGGTTCATGATGAGGCGCCCCTCACTCCTCACCAGGCAAGTCAGTAGCTGAGGAATCCTGGAACACAGATGTACAGCATGAACAATATGTAATAACTGATCAAATCTTTAACCTAGGTTTGTAGAATGCAATCAAAAGAATATAAGCACAATACATGTAGCACAAAACACTTAAATAAATATACTCGTAGAGTGAATAATAAAGAGGATCAAGAAAAATATTGTTCTGTACAGAAGCAATAAAAGAGACACACAACAATTACAGCCAGAAGGCATCATATTTGTTTACAATAGAATGTAGAATCTAAGCACTAAATTTTGTTTCCAAAGTATGGATCCAGAAATACCTCACCCTTCCTGGCACACTCCACATCATCCCCCCTCTCAACCCTTTTATTAATACAAAAACTTATACTTTGTAAATGCTGTATCTTACCAAGGTAGCCACTGTATCGGTGGTACCCCCACACAATACTTGTCCACTGCCTCTGCCAGAGCTGACTTCTCGTCATCGTACGTCAGGAGCCACAGAACCTTGGCCAGATACTTCCTAGATTTACTCTCATTCTGGTGACGACAGGCGTGCAGGAAACAGGTGATGGCTGACACACCTAGCTCTGTCTTCCTACACAAATAACGGACAAAGTATGTAAACTACACACGGGTATAAAGAAATTATATACACATAATTACATAAAACAACAAACTGCATATTCAAACTCATCCTTTGCTCTTTTCTTTGTAAAACTTTCAATGTATTTTTCTAGAGTATATTTCATTCTTAAAGTTTTGACAAAGATCTTAATATGTAATAATCATATTAATCCTAAACTCCTTAAATCCCCCCCCCCAGTACTTCTAATTCAGCAAGTAGAAATCCCCTTAAAATTCCAAGATCTATTGGATCCCAAAACACTGGAAAACATTGTACCAAAACTGACACATCCCTTGAACAAAACTAATATACAAACTTTTCTTTTGTGAAGACATTCTCTAGGTAATCTCCCCAGAGAGCCCAAGCTTTGACCAGGGTGTCATGCATCTGCACCGCAGCACTGAATGCCTTGTTGGCATCCTCAGAGCGGCCAATCTGGGCTAGGAACATCCCCTTTAATGCGTAGAATTCCGCTGTGAACTCCTTGGTGAAGTACTTCAGATTGGTGGACTCAATCACCTCCAGGCCCTTGAATAAGGAATTAGAACTGCTATGTATTTGTGTTTTTATGTAGGAAATAGCTGCAGATCTGTAGCTCGCTGGTCTGAAGAAATTGGGATGGACGACCAGAGAGCTACAGTGCCACCAATTGAAAACAGTGTTTATTTACTGCACACAAAAAATGCGCTGTTTCACAATTTATTTCTCTGCATATATAAACTAACATCTCAAAATATTACAGACCGTGTGTTCCTTGCATATTTTTGCACTATACACAGGGAAAAGTGGCTTACATGATAATCATGTGATTATATATTTATTTGAAAATTATGTGAAAATCATGTAAAAATTATATAAATATTTTTTCATGCGAATATCATGTGAATAAGTTTGTGTGATATTCACATATATATTTTTTAGAACTTTCATGTGAAGTTTTCTCTGCACGATTTTTATGCGATATGCTCTTCCTGTAAAATTCATAAGAAAGTTAGGTCAAAATGGCTTAAAGTTTTCACAAAAATTTCACATGTCTTGTTTTTCGTCTCTTTCTCATGCAAAGAATTTACAAAAAATTCATGTGAATTTCATATGAAATTTATGTAAGCCACTTTTGCCTGTGTATACTTCAACAATAAAACATTCCCCCAAACTGTTGTAAAAAGCCCTCCTTGGCCTGAATTTGAGACCATCGAAAATTTGGCATATGTATACTGCCATCTTGGGTGGCAAGACAATTCGGTCCGACACCCTTCGTGCATGACCTGTATATATAGTTTTGTTGTGGAAGTGGTAAAAGAATATGTTAGGAACAGATAGTTAGTAATATTTTTATATATACTGAAAAATAATTCGAGAAACAGCGCTCTTTTTTGTGCACAACAAATACACACTTTTTTCAATGGGTGGCACTGTAGCTCTCTGGTCATCCATCCCAATTTTTTTCAGACCAGTGAGCTACAGATCTGCAGCTATGTAGGAAAATGACAGTTCTGAATTTGGCTAATGGTAAATTTGATTACTGGTACATGTTGATCTTCCATAAATATTAACCATAATTAGATTTTGACTTAAGTTGGTTTCTTTAACATTACAAAACATTTTTTTTTTTAAGATTAAGAAATATATAACATTTACAAGTAATTCAATACACATAATTTTCAGGTTTTTCACACACTTCATACAGGGAAATATATAAAACATCTGATTATTTATTTGAAAGATGTGATGTCATTACATTCTTAAATTTCTATAAATCAAACTATAAATTCTTGTCTTGAACACACATTACTGTCCTGTGAGATTTTATATACTGACCTCCTGCAGTTCATTTTTACCCATGGTGCCCGCCATCTGTAGGTAACACTTGACCTGTTGTCTGATCTTCTGGAAACAATCCACGATAGGAACACTGGGGATGGTGTGGATCCTGTAAAATCATAATGGAAAATACAGGTATTATTGGAAGAAATTGTCTTGTTTTTCACTCTAATTTACTTATAAAGATTTCTTTTTTTTAACTAAATATTCAACTATATGTCAGAATTTGAGTATTTCTAAATCTATAAAAAGCTTTAAATTAAATAAAACAGTGTCAATTTCAAAGGACCAATGCAGGTATTTTAAGAAAAAAGGATCTGCACTATTTCCTGAAGCTTCTCAGTTTTACCTATTTAGCTTGCAGCTGGAATTGTTTTACTGAAAATTTTCCTACCTGCTGAGAGAGTCCAGACAGACCCCGGTCAGTCCATGTTTCCTGGCAATTTTACCAAAATGGATGATAGCCTGAGCAGAAGCATGGACGCCAAGCATTGAGTGGTTACTGTTTTGCTGTAGGAGAAAAAAATAATAGTCATTAAAAAAAACTTGGAATTAAGTTTCTTTTCAGTGAATACATGTAACGGAAATTCCACAAACTGAAAAGTATGTCAAATAAGTTGATCTTACTGGGTCTTGCTGGGCATGGGAGTCATAGTGATTGACAATGAATTGATAATGGTGTTGTCTCCAGGTAAAAATGTCACTCCAGTGGGAAAGGTCATCAGATATCATTGGTAGACGGTTCCTGTGGGATAGAAGGATTTCAGTATTTAAATTTATTATTAACATTTCCTTTACATTTAAAGATTAATAATATGCTTGCAAAACATTTGGCTGCATTTCTTTGAATAATATGTATATGTACTTAACATTCCTCAAAGACTGATAAACTGAAATAAACAGGTTGTACATATATATTTTTAATCTATGGACATATGCATATACAAAGTCAGTATTTCTGCTTTTCTTAGAATTGAAATAAACTCAACAAGCATGTTAGTCCATTGCCCCATCACTCAAGCTAAAGAATTCATCAAATAGCCACTAGAAAACCTACACATTCATTAACTAATTTAAAAGGAAATTATAAATTACACATTTATTATTGATACAGAAATAAAGTACACGATGTTGTTTTCTGGCACAGATTACATCAATCAAATATGTCACTTATTTAAAACAGAATAAGTATTTTTTCAACAACAATGCACAATCTTCTTTATATAATAGATAAAAGAATCTCTGACCTCCAAGTTTTAACGATGGCCTTCATGTCATGTAGACTAGAACTGCGGGTAATGTTGGCTGGCTGGAGGCCCTGGTTTATCTGAGCAGCTTCCTGGAGCTCCATGATCTGCTGTGCCGCCTGGAGGAGGGGCACATGGATGTGGGATACAATGGAAGGCAGGCGGCGCCACTCTTTGATGGCCAGATTACTGGACACCTCCACCAGCCGCTCAATCTGCAAAACACCACAGTAAATTACAGCAACAACAAATATTACATTAGAAAAATTAAATTCAAATTACAGCAGGATGCAAAACTAAGAAAAGAAATCAACATGAGAATTCAATCATGGCATAATCAAATACTGCATCAATATGTTGGAAATGATACAAACTTTGTGACATTAAGTTGTTATGTAATACTTTAAAAAGAAATCAATTGTACATGAGCTTCCAACTTAATCATGGCATTCTTTTTTTTAAATCCATTTAAAATTGACTGACAATTTCTCAATGAGAGGTGAGAGAGGTTAACAATCCTTATATGCCAATATTCTACACAATCAAAAGGAAACATTACCATGGTAACCATGTTGAGATGATGGTCGTCGGGATGACAGATGGCAATATAACCTCTATACAGGTTGACTTTCCAGGCCATTTCTTTAGGACAGCTCAGCTCCACCTAGGCAGGTCAGAATAAGGTCATTCAAATAACAGCACAAAAATGATGCAGCAGGAATTTGCACATTTTTTAAAACACCGATATGAATGTTATCACAGATTACTTTCAAAACTTCACTTCCGTCATGATTTTTTTGAAAGATAATTTATATGCAAGTTTTTTTTTTTGTTTTTTTTTAATTTCAATTTTTCATTTATCTGATTTTTTCTGTATGTTTGTTCAGATTCATATTATCTAAAAGTCTGAATAAAGGGAAGTAACTTTGTTAAAAAAAATATTTCTCAGAGAACTGTGAAATTTCACAATTCTATACCTGGGCAAGGGCATCCTTCATGACTGACCAGTTAGGAACCCTCCAGGCACTCTCTAGAACCAGGTGGGGGTTTGTGTTCCCCTTAGACGTGGCATACTCCAGAAGCAAGTCCCACTGGTTCAACTCCTTACAGCACCTACAAATACATGTACATAAAAGAAAACATTTCTTTATGATTATTGTGGAATTTCTTTACTGCTTAAGTTTCTAAATATTTTCAAATTTTTCATTCTCTGAGTGCCTTAACACAAAAAAATCAACGGACTCTTTTATTTGTGCCCACAATCTTATATTAAAATGTTTCTAAAAGTGTCTCACCACTATGCTAATATCCCCCCTTTCCTTTGACTTAGTTTCAATTTGAATAATATGTCTTGCATTTTTTAAAAAAAACGGTAAACTGACAAAGTAGGAGCTGTCAAACACAAGAAAAGGTGGTGCTGAATCCTATCATTAATTACCTGATCCAGTGGTCCTCCCACAATTTGTACTCCGGTAAAACTGAGGGCTGGGCAGGGGCAGTGTTGTGTTCCTGTCGGGCCTTGGTCATACACTGGAATAATGACAGCAAGAAAAACTTATTATAAACATAATCCTTTTAAGTTTTCTACTGAGTAGAGACAATTTCTATGATTATGGACCACTGTGTGTTAGGTTACCTGTTCGTATGCACTCTGTGCCTGTTCAAAGAAGCCGTGCTGTTCGTAGGCTATAGCAGTGTTGGATTCTGGGAACTTGGATCGTTTCTGCCAGAGTCCCGTCCACATGTCAGACTCCTTCAGCAGAGAGTAGAGCTCACAGAGGCAGTCCAAAGTCTCCTAGTGTACAGATATCAGATGGAGCTCAGATTAGTAGAATTGTAATGTTCATCCAACAAAGTAGAACATATGTTAAATTTTTACAGTAAAGTAGTTTTTGAACTTGCAAATTGAATGTAAATAATAAGAAAGAATCTGCTTTATTACATTTTCAACAGTGAAATACTGTGATTTATTCATTGAATAAAAGTGATATTCTCTCACAGTGTGAAAGAATATCAAAGAAAGTAGAAATGATTTCTGGTCTGTCATAAGATAGAAATAGTAACTAAACCATCTTAATAGAGACTAAAACTGTAAATTTTCTCCCAAATGTATTGCTAAAAACAATTTTACAATGTTTTCAATCTCACAATTCCTAAGCTATGACGTCTCAGCCACTCAACTATGATGTCACAGCCTACAACACTGTGTTAAGAAAAGACAGAGGCAAAGAAAAATCAAAGAAAATGTAATAAACAGAAAATTCAATGTTTTGTAGTTGGATATGAAATTTATTTCACTCGTGAGACAGGATTTTTTGATATTTTCACTCGTGCTTCGCACTCGTGAAAATATCAAAAAATCCTGTCCCACTCGTGAAATAAATTCCATATCCAACAACAAAACATTGAATATCCTCCATGTAAACATGGCACACATTAACAACTGTCGGGAAAATGGATTGTTTATTTTATAAATTTCTGATCAGCAACTCAAGGGAATGTGAAGAAAGGTTTCATTTTTTTAAACTATAGGTAAGTTATAATTATGAAGGTTAAGTTAACACTTACCTGTTGAGATGACTGGACTGGCTCAAACTCGTACTCGCTCCCTGGACGATTCTTCAGAGCCTGCTGAGCATTGTTCTCAAACGCGAGTTGTTCCAGCAGTAGACAGGCTCGGTGCCAGAGGTTGTGTGTCTTACCAAGGTACTGAGGGAAATAAACATCAATAGTTAAACTTCCCAATTTGAAGAATTGGACATTTAGCTTCACCAAAAACTAGACATAGTAGAGATGGCGACCATCTCAAAGGGCTCCACTTTTTGCAAAGGACATTAAGATGAAAGATCCTTAATCCAAGGGCACTCTTTGGGTGAAATTTTGAGTCAAATGGGACAAAAGGGAGAAAAAATGCTCAAGAAAAGAATTTTACAGGAGAGAAAATATACTGCGGACAATTGATTTCAGTCAGACTGATCACTATAGGGCACCCAAGAGTGGGGCCCTAACAAACATGACCATAAAAATGTTTTCATTCAAACACTACCTTTGAACTGTCAAATTCTCAACAAAATATGAGCTACTCAAATGAAAGGTGTAGGGCAGAATAGACAACTCACCTTTAAGACAGCAGGCCTGATCTGTACAGGAGGTACCACATGAGAAAGTCCCTCCAGGAACGTGTGTATAGAGCTGGGATGACAGTCCTTCTGTATCACATGGCTCCCACTGCACATAAAGGGGATCAGCTCCCCAGATATCATCTGTAAGAGGAACAAAGAGGATAGTAAACCAAAATCTCATATTATGTAAGGGCTTGGGATTCTGAGTTCCTCCCCCCCCCCCCCCCCCCCCAAGTTTTTAAGTTCCAATAGATTATGCAGTGCAATGTCAAAAATTTAGATCAATCTGAATTCTACTTGGTCCTGTAGAAAATATTCCTGGATCCATTTATTTCATAGTAAATGTCAATTACCTTTTTCCATAAAAAGTTTCTATACAGAAATAAAAAAGTACTCTCCCATATTTCATCAATTATTTCAAAAAAATTCACTGGGAAACACCTACCCCTTGTTGTTTCTCTGAGAGAATTTTCCAGATCCTTGGGAAGATGTCAATCCAGATACTGTGTGTCAGGTCTGTCGTACTGTGACACAACTGTGACAGGGAGTTCAGGTATGACACAGTCTGAAAACACAAGAGAAATCAATAAAGACATGGGCAATTTATAATACAAAGAAAAATCAAAATGAAAATAAATACAAAATCATGTAAACTTTGGCTTTTCAAAGATCAAAATTCAATCAACATTTCATCTTAATGACTGAAGGTTATATTAATCTCTTTGCATAAATTATTATAATCTCTGTTGCTTAATTGATGACTGTGTTAAGTTCTTGTTCATATCTTTTTGTTCCTCTCATAAATGCATTATGTGTAAGGAGAACTCTTGCTGTCATTTCTAGCCTACCTTGACTTCCCGGCAGCCCTCTAAGAACTTGGCCTGTCTCTGTAGTAATGTGTTGATACTTTGTTTGGGTTCCTGTAGGTCTTTCTTGGGAGGTTCCTTGGAGGAGGTGTTGTCATCCGAGGACACGCCCCCTAACTCCATGTCAATCTCCTCCTGTAGTGGATACCATTATTTATATAAAACAAACATGTACAGCTGAATATGATGTCAAAGTGGAAATTCTTTTTCATATAAAATCAATGACAAATTAAAATCTTCCAATCATTACTTTCATAGATCTGTATGTACAATGAATATAGGCATTAGACACATTTTCAAATTCACTGAAGATGCAATTTCTTTTACCAAATTCCCCGAGAATTGTTTTAAAAATTTCTCATATCTAAAAAACATGTTAAAAAATACTTGTTATTCAAAATCTCATTATTTATTTCAATAACCATGCTTATATGGTATTAAAGATGTGCAAGTATGGTAATGTATTCTAATGTGTGAAATTACTACAAATACAGCAAAACTGAAAATGACAGATTTTTTTTCTAACCTCTTCTTTGTTGGAGTCTACAGATTCCACATCCATTGGTTCTTCCTTCATTTTCATGATGCTGGCGAAGGCCGCCCTCTCCTGGCTGTCCGCTAAATTAACAATACTGCTGGCCGAGGGCAGGAGATTCATCGGGGAGGAGCTTTGTATGGTGTGCCCAGTCATAGCCACTGACAGGATTAACTGTAATGTAGGTCAAAAGTAGGTCAAATCCATAAAAGAAGGTCACACGTATTAACACAGAACAATATGCAGAGTTTTGATGGATACAATTTTGCGCACAATCCTTAAATGTTATTGTTAATCTTTTATCTTTCTGCTTGCTTATCTAACAATACATGTATTATTTGTTTCATTGTTTAACAGTAGAACAGTTGTGCGTACCTCTAGACACTGTTTGATCCAGAAATGTCCTCCCATGGACTCCCAGTTCTGTGAACATGTGATGTATAGCAAGCGGTCAAAAATCCTCTTAGGAATACTGTTATCAAACACCTACAAAGTTATAAAGGATTAAAATAGAGTCAAAAATAGATTTTGTTTTATGAAAACAAAAACATCCACCAGCAAATTAAAAGCTGAACACATGTACAGTAACGCTTGTTATAAAGAACTCTCTTATAAGGAAATCTCGGTTATAAGGAACTTTTCACTATGTTCCTTATATGGATATAAAGAATCTCATTTATAAGGAAGTAAAATTCCAGGTCCCAGTGACTGCCATGTAACTGAGTTTTACTGTATGGTTTTTTTTTTTTTTGTGTTACCTCTACAAATTTCTGTCTGATGGGAGGTTGGTTACATCTCAGTCCTGCTAAAAATGCTGGCTCCAATTTAGAGGTCAGCTCTGTGCCACTCAAGCTTTCATCCCTGGATAAATGAGGAGAATCAAGGGGGAAGTTATTTCAAATTCAATGAAAATATATCTGTAAAGCACTTTACGTAGTATATTTTAAAAGTTCAACACAACATAACATTAGTACAACTCTCGTTTATTTCCTGAAAATCAAGGGGAGCTTACAGGTACACATATATGAGAAATCCATAAAAAAATAATAAAGTCTTCAAAAACTGAAACTCAAATCCAACAAAATTTACTAAATCTTATGATCCCCACCTGAGATTCCTGGATCTCACCTGTAGATGTAATTAACGAGTTCCAGGAACTGAGCGTTGAGTTCCTGTTCCTCAGGGAACCTCTTCTCCACGTGCTGCATCAGCTTGACCAGCAGTATGGCCTTTTCTCTGATGACCGGGGACTGGTTAATAGCTATAGGGGTCTGTAGTATAATAGGTATTTAATATGGATTCAATGCATCTTATTCAAAACACAGTAAAGCATGCTTATAGCAAACATGCTGAACTGATTCTTATAACAAAGTGATTTTCATTCCCCATAACTTCAAAATATATTTTGAACTTAAGAGATATAATGAATTACATTCATAACAAAGAAAAACTGTCTCTTCCTGGCACTTTGTTATAAATGTGTTTTACCATATATTATTAAAGATTTCAAATTTTTTTCATCAGTACCATTTATGTACACATTTAGGACAAAATCATCATTTCATATTTGATGTAATGAAAATCAATTATTACAGCTTGTAAAAAAATTTACAATTTGAACCTAAAGATTTTCAGTCATATATTGCATTTAATGTATAAAAATGTCATACTGTAAAGTGTTTGGTGATTAAACATATTTTGCTTGCATTTTCTTTAATGGTAACAAGATTGATGTTTCTACAATGCTGATATTTACATCTAATTACATTTACCTTTGTTTTGACCCAGTCCTCTACCATTTTAGTTATGGCTTTCATGACTTTTGGGTCAGTTGTTTTCTCAATCAGGCCAACTAAGATCTGACCAATAAAACTTTTCCTCATCTCGAGGGACATAACTCCTACTCTGTTCTTGACCAGATCCAGACTCAAAATCAGTAACTCACTGGCCACTGTCAGAAAAAAAAAATGTAAAATGAAATCACATAAGTTCATCAAGTATCTATTTCACATTTCTCTACAAGTACATAGGAATTTAAAAATCTATGAAACTTAATTTGGTCCAACCTCCAGAATCTTCTAATATTATACATATCATATAACCCCAGATCTAGAGTTTTACCAGCAGTATGAGTGTAAAACTGAAATTGTTCTCTCTGTTATGTTGCAGATTGGAATTCTTCAGCCAGCCCCCCCCCCCTTCTTCACCACCTCCCTTTTCCTGAAGATTTTTCAATCTGAATAAACTTTAAAATCTTACTGGGACTTGTCTCAGTAGAGGTGGGCTGCAGGTGCTCCCGCGCCATCTTGTGTAGGACCTTCATGAATGTGGTAATGAGTCGGTCAATGTAACATTGATTGTGCATACAGGCTGCCTTCAGAATCATCAGGGTACTAAACAGCTGTGTGGGGGAACCATTGGTTGACCTGAAATACAGGGTTTGTTCAAAACTGAAATACTGTAGATCACAGTATTTTTTCAACACCTTATTTTCCAAATTTTTGGTTACTGCTGTACTTAACCCTTTTTAAAATTCCATGAAATTTAGAATGAAATTTTTGTGAGCAAATGACCTCGCAATATGACAAGAAAATAGTTTTTGTGAATAAAATGTGATTTACAGTAATTTGACTACATGTAAATGACTTCATCACTTTCTAGATAAACAAAATCAAACCTGCATAGAATATGGAAGTAAATTTACATACATGTACCTTATACTTTGCACTTCAAATTATTACAGTCAAATTTTCTGTGTTCAACATTATGACTTGACTTACTTTTCATAGTTGGTGAGTCCTTCATAGACCACTTTGCTGACACAAGCATACAGACATTCCAGTTCCTCATACTTAGAGGCCACATTAGAAGTCACTGGTTCTGTGGGGAAGAAACTCATCAGGCGGGACAACAGACCATGGACACCACGAATGACCTTGGTATTGGGGCAGGTCATACATGCTGCAATACCTCGCTGGAGGGGCTTAAAACTAGAGAGGATTGTGTCCTTTTTCTGTAAAAAGATATACACTATCATAATTTAACAAATTCAGTACTGATTTCCATCGCTTGTGCACATCACCAAGTGAAATAGGAAGTTATTTAACTGAACTCAACTTTTTTCAGCAAAGATTGAAAAGATTATGGTAGTTCACAAATCTTTTTCTTCACAAATTAACATACCAGATACATGTACGTAATCTATCTACCTGAATTAACATTAAAAGCCCAATGTACCATTTACAAATTGAGCTTTATTATCATTAAGCTAATCGAGTTTTGGTGAACAGGACAAGTAATATACATAACTGGGAGACATATACATGTATTATGATGTGTTATCTTCCTAAATGCAAAATCTGAAATTGTTGATCCTAATTGAACTGATATATGTTATGTAGGAACCAAAACTAAAAAAAAAAAAAACCTCACCAGTATAGTTAACAGGAAGCTGAGGAGCTCCAGGGCTGTACAGATGTTGTTAAAATTTGGCTGATGGTTCTCTACTGTCGTCAGGAGTTTGTCAAACCACGCCAGCTTCAGCTCCGTATTCTGCCAGAAGTCTGGACGAAGCGCCATCTTCAGGAGAGCCACACATCGCCGTGACAACAGCTCACCTGGGGATCCAGGGCTCTCATTCACCTGGAATGAGAAGTCTATTAAGTACACAGTTCATGACAGTATTTTAGGTCTAAACTTCAAGCTTACACCATTAAAAGATACATGTAATATCAATATAGACCTGAACACCAAGAATAGACAGTATATGATATATGTAGCCTCAATAACAACTACACATTTTTTTTTCCATAATACATGGCAGTATTTCAGTCCTAAACTTCATGCTTACACCATCATCTGCATTAAAACATGTACATGTACAATGGCACAGACTGATACAGACTTTAATAACTCTATGTGTCATCATACTTGGCATCCTACCTGACAAGCAATTCTCAATAGGAAGTTGACCACAGCATCACAGTAATTCTTCTCTATTGGTTTACTACTCTCAGTCACACTCTTGTTACTCTGTAAATCAAACAAGAGACATTTAACTTTGGCTAGAATTATCTTTTTTTTTTTCAATTTCCTGATCAAACATGTGATAAATACTCTAGCCAATCAAACACTGTGTCTTTTCATGGACATAACAGAAAGTTTGTACATACTTCACTGGGTGCCCCTGAGGAGTGACGTGATCGTTTGGCCTCCTGGGGTGAGTCCACTGAAAGGGGGGTACCAGGGGCAGGACGTTTAGTTCCCACATTCTGCTGTGGTGCCTGGGTCAGGTCAGGGGCAGGCTGTAAATTTTATGCAAAATTTTATTTAAAAGAATAAAATAACATCATTTTCAAGTTGTATATGAATAACAATTAACTGATTTCTTAATTTCATATATTAAAAAAATTCTCAATTTTTCATAGAGGCTTTGAGTCTATCAGCAAGTTTCTCTCAATAGTGATAGAGCAGCTCCCTAATTTATAAACTACTATATGACACATCTATATTTTCAAATAAAGAACAAGGTTCACTTAGAGCCTTTTTTGGCCCTGTGAATTTCCGTTTTAGTTGACAATGCATTAAATTTCATTTCAACATTTGGCGATTGTGAATCTACCAAAAATGACGTAATTTTCTGGCTAGTCAATGCATTATGATGTCATGAAATGTGCATTTTCCTCCTATCCCGAACAATTCTTCAAAAACAGCCACTTTTTAAAGCTACTTTTCGATATTTAATATAGAGCGCAATCTCTGATGTAAAATATGCAATTATTTACTGATAGAACCGTTTCTGAGGATTACAAAACATGTTTTATTATTTAGATCAGAGGATGCGCTCATATTATTTTTCTTCTCTGAAAGTACTTAAAATATACCTGTTTTCCTTAAAATTCAAGAACATTGCAATTCCATAAAGCTTGTTTTCCAAGACCTGCACTTTAAGGAGAAAAATTTTAATAGGAAATGAAAGCAGTAAGTCTCTACTTATCTTGATGTTTAAAATGGAACATAAGGTGTTAGTCAATAAATTGGTATAGCTATAGGGCCATTTTGTGCATAAAGTGAACCTAGCTCTTTGTACTGATACTTTCATACACTGAAATATTTTCTAAGGAAACGAGTAAGGGAGTGAATCAAAAAAAATCTTAGATCCACCTCTGCACTGACCTCATTGACCTCTTGATCATCCTTGACCCTCTGAACTTCCCACTTAATGACTACTTCTGCCAAGTCAACAGCCAGCTTCCTGTGTTCTATAGTGGCCTACAAGTAAAAAAAAAAGACTTGTATAAATATTAGCTGCTTATGCTAGATTTCAAAGTGTTACACTACTGACATGTATATCATTGTTGAAACACATAGTAATCATGTATCGCACAAATAGCAGACTTTACATTTATTCTGACAACTTATTGCTTATGTCAAAGCTGAGCAATTCTTATACAAGACTGCAAAAATGTCAATAAATACAGGAACGGTATAGACACAGATTGTAGACTGTATACATACACTAGAGGTGAAGCCCAGCCTCTGTAGGGAGTTGACCATGTGAGGGATCAGGTGATGTCTGACCGGGTAATACACTTTGTAGTGACGGACCACCAGTTGTCTGAAAATGGAGATACATGTAAAATATACAGCAATTTACATGTAAAGTTTCTTGACTACCCCCCCTCCCCTCCCCCATTCACAATAAAAACACATTCAAACACATTCAGGAGTCAGACTTTGTTTGCAACACATCACACTGAATGAACATTTTTTTCCCAAGAATTTTATTTTGATCAATTCAAGAATCCCTTGTTTACATTGTACATACAGAATATGGACAAGCTGAGCCACAGTGTGTCCCTCCTCAACAATTATCTTCTTGGTCCAGTGAGTCAACATACCCTGAAACATGCATGTTTATAAAAACATTACACGAATGTATTTTAACCTATGAATAATAAAATAAGTACATGTACATGTTTTTCCACATTGATAAATTTATTACATTCAATGATGGTATGTTCCCTTCTTTTTATTTAATTTATAATAATTTAATTTTTTCCATTCAATTTATGAATATCTTGTAAACTTTTGACAAAAATTAAAGATTTCAACCAAATTGCATAATAATTATTTTATACATACATTTCCGTCTTCCATTCGTCCTGGCATGGCTGGGGTTAAGATCTCAAGGGCCTGTCTGACCACAGCCCGGGCCTCAACTGCATGGGCTTTCAGTAGGCTATGGAACACCTGGAAAATAGAACAAAACAATTTATCAATAAACATACTAAAATAAATAATAAACATTCATTCATAAACAAGAACAGTGAGTGAACTGTAAAATATCTGACCTGCAGTACAATGCGTTTATGGATGGCAAACTTTGCAATGATGTGGGACAGTAGGAGGTGTCCGTGGTATTTGGTGGCGGGGTCCACACAGTTCTTACTGAGGAGGCACGGCCAGGCAAATGTCATCAGTCGCCTCAGTTTGTTACCCTGTTTCCTTTTAAAGAAAAAAAAACAAATGTGAAGAAAGTGCCAAAATATGCTTGCCATATCTAGAACATATTGCAGGAAAACCACAATGTTTTAACTTCACACCACTGTAGTGGGATTCTGTTTTGTCATAAATTTAGAAGGCAGACACAAGGTATATATCAACTCTGTGTTTTAGGAGACAAGAAAAGACCATATCAGAGAAATTTACTTGTTGTTGGCGTCATGGATGTGAGAGGAGGCCTGCTCCACCAGTAGGGAGGACAGCTGTAATAAAAGAATCCTGACCGAGTCCGAGGTCCCAAATGGGTTCTCAGGGTCGATGATTTTGGTGATGAATGCACTGATGACATTCTCTGGGTTGTCCTGGTCTGGGGTGGGGGGTCCTCCAATCAGTTTCTCCCCATCGTTTTGCTCAAAGGCATGTTGGAAACATGGAATCAAGATGTGCTGCAGAATCTGGAAATGTGAAAATTATAACAATTGTTAATGTTACATCACTATATAGTCACTTGCTTAATTCTCACAGACACATATATTTCCAATAGCTGGTCAGAAAGAGTAGGTTTACACTACACTAGTAGCCTGCAGTAATTCTTTCTATTCATTACAACGACAGTCATGCACATGTACTTAAGACATTTTTTTGTAAGTTTCAATATGTATTTTTTTGCCATACACAGTACTCACTTTGGCTTTCAAATCCTGTGTCCAGGTCTGATCATGAAAGATGTCCACAAATTTGAAGAAGGCACTTCTCTTCCATTCAATGGTGTATGTCTGTAAAAAAAAAAAGAAAATATATGTAATTCATTTTTTTTAAAAAAATTCTTAAACTTCTATGCTTCAAACTCACTCCATGCCTAAACTTTGTGATGATTGTGATAGTTTGAAACAAAGGATGGAATCAAATGCTGTTATTAGGCAATAAGTTTTCCACAGATTGCTAGAATTTATTGAAAATCCAGTGTTATTTTACACTGTACAATACATAAGGGTAAATCCTACCATAAAATACACAGAAAAAAAATCAGACTGAATTGAGAATTCTATCGAGTTAAACTTCCACTTACCGCCGCCACCACATTGTCCAGAAAGTCCTTGACAAACTGGAACTGTATGATGAACCGCGTGGTGAAGCACCGCAGGATGTGGAACAGAAGCTCTATCTCATTTGTGTGGTACCTGGTAAAATGTCAGATAATTATATAAAAAGAAAAAACAATTTATTCATCAAGGCAAGTATGAGGCATAAACTACATGTATAAATGTATTGATGACTCATTCTTCTACTATTCACTTCAAAAGACAAGGTTATAAAAACTGTATAATTATTCATTTAAAAATATCTCACTTGAAATAGTTCAGCAGACATTTTACTAGCAGTGCTGGTTCCTTCCAAATCACAAAATCTACAGAGTTCTACAATAAAAGGAATCAACTGTGATCAAAACAACATTAAGATATCAGTTGTATGTTTGAACTTGACATCTCAAATATTAATAACTGCATGAGTTATAATACATCCAAGTCCAAAGACACATTACATCAAAATACATACCACTTTTTTGTGCCTCTCCAGAAAATTTTCACTTTTCCAAATGCTCAACAAATGGGTGATCTGAAAAGAAAATATACAGTTTAATGCATTCTAATAAGTTTAGAATAGGCATGTATGGTAAACTCTAGATGAACAGATTTCAGGTAAATTCATCACATGATAATTCTCTTTGTTTTGACTACAAAGCACACTTAAAATAGGAATCATTAGGAAACACCAGATGAGCAGACTTTATGTACATTTATTACATGTTAAGCTCTGTGTTTTAACTACATACACTGTATACATCACACACAGCACTGTACATGAACATGTCACATGTTCACATTGACATTATAACACTCACTATCTGTGTATGTTGAGATAGCCAGGCCTCCTCAAACTTTGTCAGTAGACTGATGAGTTTGATCATCTGAAACTGGAGGTCGTTAGTCCCCGCCGTCACTGGGACATTCTCCGAACTCTGAAATACAACAGCCAGTACAACCTTTCCAATATCAACTGATATCTTCAATAAGAGCACAAAGGTATCCCAATGAGAGGTCCACAAAAATCAATCTCTTGAAATTATTAAATTATATGGACTATAATACCATGTATGATAAATTTAAGGAAAATTTTTTATTTAACATTAATACCTGTTGCTGTCCAATATTCAACAGCTTGGTTGGGTTGGCCTCCAGAACTTCTCGGAACTTTTTACCATCACTGTGTGTCAAGATAAACTGAAGAGAAAAGAAGAAAGCTCATGAAATTTCTTCTACATAACCCAACAAAATATAACATAAGGTTGTCAGTTCAAATATTTCCATCACACTGTGTTATGTTAGAAAATTAATCCATCAGAGAATTCAAGCAAATCATTGAATATTCCTTTTCAAGTGAATTGTGGAATAAAATACATTTACACATTAAATTGATCATTTAAATATATACTTCTGATATTGATGGTCTGAACAAACTGACCAAGACAGAACCCAACAATCATCAGTTGCGCATCACTTACCTCAAAGAGTCTGTTCCACTGATGGTCCTTTAATCTGGCTTCACTCAAAAACAGGTCAACTGTAACCTCAGGATACCGTGACAGGAACTTTACAAGAGGGTCTCTGAAGGGACTGCCAGCCTATAGATTGGAGAAGTGCAACATTAATATCTGCATCATTGCAGTGTATTGAGACAAAAATTTCCCAAGAAAGGATTCTATTTGTGGAAGTTATTTCCACTGCATACCAGTACATGTATATGTTTTGACTTTTCTGTTGTACATTCAATATCATAAAATAAACCCCCAACTCAAAAATTTTAAATAATGCAGAATCTCTGTATATCAAATAACTCATGAAATGATTGCATCATATTCTGACCTCTAAGAACAGTGACTTTTCTCCACCGAGGGCTACAACAATGAGTGGTTCAATCAGCTTACTGCTGGCTGCTGGTATCATGTGGAAAATGTTAATGATGGCAGCACAGGTCTTAAGTTCCTGAAAAAAAATTTCAATGACAAATAAAAAAATCAAAATTTTACATGCAGTTATGCAAGGGACATGCAAATTATCTGAAAGAATTTTTCAATGCAAGATGGCTATTTCAATATTCAATAATGAGAAAGAAAAAATTGGTCTAAGTATAATGAAACATACTAATGTTTTGTTCACTATCTCAAAGAAGTTTTAATTCCAGGTCATTCTATTACATATCGCCTTTCAGCTCTATGAGGGTATCATATAACAAGATCTCAATTCAAAGACTAACAAAAGACTGACCATGTGACTACACTGTATTCACTACCTTATATAAAGCACTGTCCACGTAGGGAATCATTTCTTAAAAGATTTGTGACAACCCAAAAGAAACATACTAGGTAATCAGAGATTACAGAGCTCATCTCAACGAGTAAATAAGGCAAAGTCCCAAATTAATAATCTAGTAGTGTGCATCCCTAGATTTAACATTTATGCAACTTTAGTCCAATAGGGCTTGCAGTAACTTGGGAATGGGCTTACCTAACAAGAGGCCCATGGGCCACATTGCTCACCTGAGCACATTATAGCTAGGAAAAAGCACATATCAGTTCAGTATTGAAAAGTTTATAGGGGGGACTTGAATTTTATACAGATGCTTCCATATCAATTTATCAAATGGCTTTGCTGTTCTTGAGAAGATTTATAAAGATTTTTAAAGATTTTTTTCCTATATATTCCTTTATAAGAGTTTGATCCCCCATTGTGGCCCCCCATATCCCCAAATGGGGGGGGGGGGTGTCATCATTTGAACAATCTTGAATCTACACTACCTGAGGATGCTTCCATATTAATATGACTAAACATGGCTTTTCTGTTCTTAAGAAGTTTTTTCCCTATACATTCCTTTGCAAATAAATTTAATCCCCCACTGTGCCCCCTTCCTACCCGCAGGGGTCATCATTTGAACAAACTTGAATCTACACTACCTGAGGATGCTTCCATATCAATATGACTAAACATGGCTTTTCCGTTCTTGAGAAGAATATTTTTGCATATATATTCCTATGCAGAATCCCCCATTGTGGGCCGACCCTATCCATGGGGGGGGGTCATCATTTTAAGAAACTTGAATCTACAATACCTGGGAATGCTTCCATATCAATGTGACTAATCATGGCTTTGCTGTTCTTGAGAAGAAGATTTTTGAAGATTTTTTCCCATATATTTCTATGTAAAAACTTTGATCCCCCATTGTGACCCCAACCTACCCCTGTGGGTCATGAATTGAACAAACATGAATCTACTCTACCTGAGGATGCTTCCAAATCAATATGACTAATCATGGCTTTGCTGTTCTTGAGAAGAAGATTTTTAAAGATTTTTTCCTATATATTCCTATGTAAAACCTTGATCCCGACTGTGACCCCATCCTACCCCGGGGGGTCATGATTTGAACAAACTTGAATCTACACTATGTAAAGAAGGTTTCCTATAGATTTCAACTTTTCTGGCCCAGTGGTTCTTGAAAAGAAGATTTTTTTACACATGTCACCAAATTTTCACTATTTCTGAATTATCTCCCCTTGAATGAGGGCTTGTCATGAATTGAACAAATTTGAATCTACATTACCTGAGGATGCTTCCATTTAAATATGACCAATCTTGGCTTTGCTGTTCCTGAGTAGAAGATTTTTAAAGATTTTTCCTATGTATTCCTATGTAAAACTTTGATCAACCATTGTGGCCCCACCCTACCCCCAGGGTCATGTTTGAACAAACTTGAATCTACACTATCTAAGAATGCTGCCATATAAATATCCTATTCTTAAGAAATAGTTTTTTTGAAAGATTTTTACTATGTATTCCGATGAAACTTTGATCGCCCATTGTGGCCCCACCCTTCCCCCGGGGGTCATGATTTGAACAAACTTGAATGTACACTATCTGAGGATGCTTCCATGTAAATATGACCAATCATGGCTTTGCTGTTCTTGAGAAGAAGATTCTAAAGATTTTTCCTATATATTCCTATGTAAAACTTTGATCGCCCATTGTGGCCCCTCCTGACCCCCGGGGGTTATGATTTGAACAAACTTGAATCTACACTAACTGAGGATGCTTCCATGTAAATATGACCAATCATGGCTTTGCTGTTCATGAGAAGAAGATATTTAAAGATTTTTCCTATATATTCCTAATATGTAAAACTTTGATCCTCAATTGTGGCCCCACCCGTCCCCCAGGGGTCATGGTTTGAACAAACTTGAATGTACACTATCTGAGGATGCTTCCATGTAAATATGACCAATCATGGCTTTGGTGTTCTTGAGAAGAAGATTTTTAAAGATTTTACCTATATATTTCTATGTAAAACTTTGATCCTCCATTGTGGCCCCACCCTACCCCCAGGGGTCATAATTTGAACAAACTTGAATCTACACTACCTGAGGATGCTTCCACATAAGTTTCATTTTTTCAAGTACAATGGTTCTTGAGAAGAAGATTTTTTAATGATTCCATTTATTTTTCATGAATTCATAATTATCTCCCCTTGGAAGATGGTGTGGCCCTTCATTTGAACAAACTTGAATCCCCTTTACCCAAGGATACTTTGTGGCAAGTTTGGTTGAAATTGGCCCAGTGGTTCTGGAGAAGAAGTCGAAAATGTGAAAAGTTTACAGACGGACAGACAGACAGCCTTCGGCTCAGGTGAGCTAAAAATACTAAGCATATATTCTAGCAATTTTTTATCCAAACTTGTTTTAGAAGAAGTTTACAACTCCATATATAGACATTAAAATATAGCACACAGTTCCTTCAAGTATTGGAACTCTTCAACTTCACGGAAAAAGACAATACAGTTCAAACTACGTTGCATATGTCCTTAAGAACAAGTGGTGGGAACTTCCAAATCACTATGACATATCCATGGCATTCGAGATATATTAGTGTTTGAGTTACAGAAGTTCAACTGTATTTGACCTTTATGCACTTACCTGACCTATGACCTGCCCATTGGATTTGTTCTGCCCACTCTTCTGACTGATGGCTGCCACCTCTAACCATTTCTTCAAGTGTGTCTAAAAAAATATACACTCGCTAATATAAGAATAAAATTAAAATTGTACTTGTCTAGTAGGTTTCTTGTAATTTTTGTGTAGAAAATTGCTAATGACACCAAAATGACACCAGAGCCCCTGACTGACATTGGTCATGAATTTCACAATTTTGGTTCAGGGCTCAGTGCTCATAAATCATGCTAACAGTTTTACTGTCTGACTTCCAGAAGAGAAGATACTTGAAGATTACATTAATTTTGATAGTTTTGGCCACATCTTTCAAGCTCTAGGTAGGTAAAGACAACAACATTTACAATTTTTGTTTTGATTCATTTACCCATGAATGCTATATGTATTATCAAAATTGGTAGAAATTGGTTCAGTTATTCCAGAGAAGAAGCTGAAAATGTTCAAATGTAAAAACACAAAAGAGATAGCAATAGGTCACTTAAGTGACTTAGGCGATTCTAAAAATGCATAAAAATTTCAGAAACATACTGCTGTTTTCATTTTTTCCAAAAAAATGTAACCCAAACTCTAGCCATTGCAATGTAATTTGGTGCAAATGATGTACCTAATTATTCATGTACTCGTTAACAACTGAAAATTGTAAATTAGTGAAAGATACATATGTCCCAGGATAATAATAATTTCAAGACAGTATGTCTATAAGCATCTTTATGGTTCTCCATACAATTAAGAAGGAATTTCCAATGATCTATCAAGCTTCCCATGTCAGCATGTCTAAATTTTCAATACATGTTCTTTTTATATGCTATTGATGAATTTGCACTGCATATGTCTACCCCACGTCAACATAAACCATAAACCAACAGCTTTTTTAAAAATCAATAAATGTGCAGAACATTATATAACACTGCGACTTATACCATAAAGCAAGAGCACTTTAAATCAATAAATGTTCAAAGCATATCCCAATGGAGATTTTAGACTAGGAAAAATAAAACACCTGAGAGGTAGATAACACAGTTTGTGTCTAACTCCACGTACATTTCAAATCTGGTTGGTAAGACAGTCGACCATACAGTCTACAGTCAGGTAATACAAATTACTGCTTTCAAAAACGTTTGATGGATTCAAGTTTGTTCACTTATCCATTAAATCTAGCCTTTCGTTAATCATAGTTACTATTATTTCAATTGCCTCGTACATAAATACTCTATTTCTAATATTAATGAACCCATTTTTGGAAACATATTTCTTTGTTATCCTCTTTAACGATAATAAACAGAATGCTTAATATTCTCTTGAAATTCTAGTCATGGATCCACACATTCGTGCCCAGGAGTTGATACGATGTGACCTGTGTAATAGTGAAATGGTACAGGTTCACTGTGAAACATGCAACACCAAACTGTGTAATGTCTGTATAGGAGAGCACATGTCATCTGATGAATCCAGGAAGAAACATGAGATTGTAAGATTCACATTCCGAAAGCTGATCCCAGATTACCCTCAATGTTCCTTTCATGACAATGAACGATGTGAAATGTACTGTAAACCATGTGATGTTCCTGTATGCACTACTTGCCTAACATCAGAACATTCGGGTCATAAAATACATGTATTGAACATTTTGCAAATTCTGGATGAGAGAAAAGATAGGATCATCAAACAACAAAATGAATTAGCTGAAACAATACTTCCAACTTATCTGGACATTGCATCTGATGTAGAAAACACCATAAGGCAGTTAGAAAGGGAATATGGCGATCTCTTAACAACCATAACAAAACATGGGGAAGACTGGCACAGATTATTTAATCAGAAAGTTAAAAAACTTCATGCTAATGTTGATCAGATGAAAAGCCAACAGTTACATGTTCTACAGAAACATCTGGAGGAAATTAAGGAGCAAATTTCTGTTATAAAGGATGAAATTAACTCAACTGATGATGTAGATTCCTTTGACATTTCAAAACTGTTTAGTATTGCATTGAACATACAAGATAAATATGCAGAACTTCCAAAAAGAATTGTGCCATCTTTACCTAAATTCACCCCAGGGACAATACCAGAGGAGGATCAACTTTTTATCTTGTTCTTTGGAAGTGTGTCAACAGGTAAATTAACTTCAGAAGAATGTGGATACAGTATCAAAAAAATACAAAAATCACCAGATGCTGGATTCTCTCCTCCAGTAAAACAGCTGCTTGATATGCCAGAGATAACCACTACTATAAAGACTGAGCAAAAATATAACCTATCTGATGTAGCCTGCCTAAGTGATGATGAAATCTGGACAGGTGGAGATGGGAGCACCATGACACTCTACAGTACTAATGATGGCTCACTTCTCATGTCAATACCAATGCCAGACATTCCTGAAGACATAACAGTAACAAAAGATGGCTACCTTATTTACACTGATCCCAATGACAGTGCTGTGAAGATTGTCAAGAATAAAAAGATAGAGACTTTGATAACAGTACAGAACTGGAAACCTTACAATGTCTGCAGCACCTCTTCTGGTGACCTCCTGGTCGTCATGAATAGAGATGATAAACAATCCAAGGTTGTCCGTTACTCTGGCTTCACAGAGAAACAAACAATTCAGTATGATGACGAAGGTAAACCCCTCTTTTTACCTGGTAATCTTAAAAACATCAGCGACAACAAGAACTTGGATATCTGTGTGGCTAATGCTCATACTCATGATGTAGTGGTGGTCAATCAGGCTGGGAGATTTAGATTCAGGTACACTGGACATACACCTGCTCCAAAGAATAAACCATTCAGTCCCCGAGGAATCACCACAGATAGTCAGTGTCACATCCTTACAGCTGATATAAATAATGAGTGTGTTCACATCATAGATCAGGATGGGAGTTCCTTGCTTTCATAGATTGTGAACTGAAAGATCCTTGGGGACTGTGTACAGATACAAATGACAATCTGTTTGTTGGTCAATATACAAACAAGCAAGTGAAAAAAATTAAATATTTGCAGTAAAGTTTAATACAGTGCTGCAGTGAAATACATTGTACACTACAAATATATAATAATGATCATGGGGACACCAATCTTCACATGTTCATCGTATGTAATTCCTCTAGCTTTCATTGTTTATTTTTTTTCCAAAAATTAAACGACCATTAATGTCATCATGATGGTTACCATTACTAAATTTTAGGCCAATTAAAAGAATATGTGTGGTTCCGGTTACTCTTCCAAAAAAATTAGGGTAGTAGATTGTTTTGTTTGTTGTTTTTTTTTTTTTGTAATAAATGTACAAAATTATTTTCATAGTACTACCTAGCAGGTGGCATTTGTATGTGGTGAGATAAATATACTAATCAAGATTGGTAGGGAGCACCCTAGCTTTTGACTATATATGAAACAAATATTTTTAAATAAAAAATTAATAAAAATAATCTTTTTTTTTTATAAAACACAAAATATTCGATACAAATCATGTTTTTGAACATGGAGGTAGGAAATATCATTCAACCACAGTAATGATTTAACTACTTTGAACTTTTTTAATTCACTGGGACTCTTTCAAAATAATAAAGGAAAGTGATCCTCAGTTAATTTTCAGTATTAATTATATTAAAACAGGCTGCAAGTTGTAGTATTCAAATATTTTTTTATGTAAATGAAAGAAAAAGTGAGCAAGCTCACATACCTCACGCTCCCCCAAAACTCGACAATGCAACACGTAATGAATGGCACAGTGCATTTTAAATACACAGTATAATTCAAAAAGGGGCATTACTTGCAAAAAATCATCACATCAAAACTTCTTGCATATAAGGACATTCAAATCTTTGTATGTTACAAATTTAAATGGGCTGAAGTTTCTAGATAAATAATGGAATCAAAAGTTCTTGGTAATATACAAATCTGAAGTACCTACAAAGTTTCAGGAAATTCAGTGCAGGAGTTATGCTGACAAACTGTTATTTAAATTCCTCAGTGATCTCGATTTGTTAATGAGTGTAAGTCCATGTCCAACACATGACAATTTACACATTTAAATAATTGATGGAAACAAAGTTATGATGTAGTCATATGAATTTGTTTATATATTGTACTTATGAAATTATTTAAGGCAAAGCACGAATTTGAAGGGGGGAGGGGGAGAACTATCCAAGATTTTGTGTGTGCGTGTGTGTGTTAAATCATTAATATTTTGATCTCAAATCAATAGGGGTCTTTTAAGGTTATAAAATATTTCACATAAAATTTCATTACAAAAGCTGAGTCCAGTGGATTTCCTTATTACCTAGCTGGAAAGTTTCTTCAATAATAGGCAAAACTCTTAAAGGTGATTGGACGCAGATTTGAAGTTAATATTTTCTCAAATTTTCTGTATAATTTTATGACTTATATGTTGATGTAGCATTTCATACTAAAATATAATAAAAATCTTATTTCATCTCCAAGCTATTAAAACTTCGAATTTCTGGATGCATTGGATTGACACATCCTTGCGCTTTCACATATTTTAATTTTATTCTTAATACTTAAGAAAAGTGGCAATTTTGTTGTGAATTAATGAAAAATATTAAAACTATAACCCAGAAAATTCAGAGTAGAAATGTTCGAAAGCAAAACCCACTCACTGTATTGTAAGTCCATGCTCAGTGGTGTGTGCAGAGTTTAACAATTGAACACACCCGTTGAATCGTAAACATTAACAATAACAGAGCTCGTGCCCTGTTTACAAAAACAGTTTATGTTTCACTGGTGTGTTCAATTTGTTAAACTCTGCACACATCACTGAGCACGGACTGACAACACCTGATGAGTTGGTTTTGCTTTCGAACATTTCTATTCTTAATTTTCTGGATTATAAATGTAATATTTTTCATTAATACACAACAAAATCGCTTCTTTTCTTAAATATTAAGGATAAAGTTAAAATTTGTGCAAGTGCAAAGATGTGTTAATCAAATGAGTTCCGGAATTCGTAGTTCCAATAATTTCCAGATAAAATAAGTTTTTAATTATATTTTCGTGTGAAATGCTATTGCAATATATAAGTCGTGATATTATACAGAAAATTTGAGAAAATATTAAGTTCAAATCTGTGTCTAAGTACCTTTAAGGCAAAAATAATGGAATTTCCTGGTAATATGCACATCTACACACTGTGTACTAATATCTGCAAAGTTTGACCAAATTCTGTGCAGCGGTTTAAGAGGAGTTGTGCTGACAAACTGTTCATCTCTATATTCATGATATGGCCAAAAATCTAAGTTGAAAAGTGCCAAAATTCAAAGAAAAAATAAAGGAATCGGAATTTCCTGGTAATATGCACATCTACACATTGTGTCCTAAATATCTGCAAAGTTTTACAAAATTCTGTGCAGCGGTTTATGAGGAGGTGCGCTGACAAAAAAACAGGACTGACGGGCTCACTGACTGACTGACTGACTGATGGATGGGTCAAAAACATTATACCTCATGCAACTTGTTGCGTGGGGTATAAAAAGCATATGTATTTGATCCTTGTTCATGTTCAATTTAAGTATTAAACAATTTCTCCTTTATGCATAAACAAACAAGGTTTCGGATCAATATTTCCACTGTAAGATGTGCAACATTTTTTATATCCAAGTTTATAAATAAAATAAATGACTTTTATCCAAACTAATTCTTATTTACATAATAATTATTTAATTAATTTAGAGCAATAAACTACAGCGCCAAAGCAAAAGTATTCGTGATTTTTAAAAATGGCAGCAGCTTACTTGCACGTCTCGATAAAAAAAAGCGATAACTCTATAGAAAATATGAGTTATCCATTTGTTTTTCTACTGAGTTATCTTTATGTAGGAGATGACATAATTTTATACACATTATCATCTGCACCTTTTTAGTTAATGTAAACAAGCAGAATTTAACCTTGCATCGAATTTTAAAATCTTGTGAGCTGAGTGAGAAAAACTAAAAATCTATTCGTAACTCTGAAAAGTGAGAATCAAAAAACTTCAGAAATCGTTCGTCTGTTGAATATTAGTGAATATACCATTAGATCTGTTTGGAATAAGTTTATTCAATGGGGAACTGTGGAAAATTTACCAAGAGTTGGTAGACCTCGAAAGTTGTCACACGGAGATGAAAACTGGATTATGCGATCAAAAGCAACAGATACAGGACCTTAAATGGTGTTACGTAAGATTTGAATGAAGGAAAATGACCTACAGAAACTGTTAATGTACAGTCCAGAGATTTCTTAGAAAAAAGGATGTCAAAGAAAAGTTGTACAAAATCATATGGTTATTCATGAAGTTTAGGGAAACGACAACTGACAGTGGGGCAATATTGGCAAAATATATTTTCTGATGGAAGTCAAGATGTCATTGGAGATAATCACAGGGTTTATGTCTGGAGAAAAGCAAATGAGGCATATCTACCCCAATGCATGTGCCCTCCTCGTAAATGTTGGGTTACAGTTATGGTGTGGGGATCTATTACAGTGCTTATGATGGTGTAAGGACTTTGTGTCTTGCTGATGGCAACATAACTGCTCAAAAGTATATTGACAAACTCGACGAACATTTGTGGTCAGTTATAGCGAGGCATTTTCCCAATAAAGCTTACCGGTACCTATTTCAAGATGACAATGCACCCGTGCACAGAGCCAGGATTACGTGTCAATATAAGATGAACAACAGCATTCCTTCCATCACATGGCCGGCACAGTCCCCGGACATCAATATAATTGAAAATATTTGGTTGAAAATAAAAGGTTCACTTCAAAACACTGCCAGAGACATCAAATCCCGAGATGAACTTTTTAATACAATACTTGACATTTGGCAAATCATCGCCCCTGTGTATGTAAAAAAACCTATATAATACCTATTGATTCCCCTTCAGAAACAGGCCATAATAAGATCCAAAGGTCAACTCACAAAATATTAAGAAAATAAGTCAGTTTCTCATACTTTTTAATAGTTGAATATTTTGAAGTGCGTCCTTGTTTATGGCCGCCATTTTGAAAAATCGTGAATACTTTTGCTATGGCGCTGTAGAAAACTGACATAAACAGAGCCCTGTTAAAAGGCTTTCAGAGGAAGTAACACCTTTACCTTGGTAATGTTTTAATAGAACTAAATATTTCATGTGGGGCCCTAATTAAATGGCCTTTGCACAAATGGAGTTTTTCCATCTTTCTGACAATTACCACACAACGGCAAATTGAACATCGTAATAACGAGACCACACTGTACTAATAATTGCCATAAACTGAATGATTATTAATGTAAGAACTAAAAAGTTGTTTGCTTCATTTAGTTACAACTGTTACAGCATGGAAGCTCTTTGTACACTTTACTTCATTAATTTGTCACCAACCTGTTTTCAATGCATCACTTCTCCAGTAAATGTTTACAATTTGTCAGAATCAAATCATACACATAAAAGAATCAAGTATGTAACAGTCTATGAATTTCTGTGTCCTTGAGGAAAATAAATATAGGGAACATACACAGGAGTGTTAATTAATTTTTTGAAAATGGTATGACCTCATACTTTTTTCTCATTCACATTTTTTCAAGAAACATTCAATGGGATAATTATTTTAACAGTAGACTTTACAGCGGGTGTTTACAGACTATTACAATGAATTAATAATTAATACAATTAGTAGCTTTTCATAGCTACATGCACATGCTTTGTTCTATACTACATCTATAAACTTACCAGCAGCTGTTCACAAAGTTTTTCATTAAATGTGTTCGGGAAGAGTTGTGTGATGTAGGACAGTCTCTGTATGACGCTGGCGTTCAGACTGCGGTGATCCCCCAGGGTCAGAAGGAGGGGGCGGATTGCGGTGTGTACACTCTCCATATCAATCTGACATCCCAGTATAAACTATAAGGTACAAAATATGTTCATTATGAATGAATCTTGAACAGCAGTTACTGTGTTTTCTACAATTTTAGTTTATACCAAATGTGATCATTACTGAATACAGAACACGAAACAAGCTACTATCCTATCAAAGCATGTCAATTGACTTTCTTGCAACCAAGAAGCATTTAAAAATAGTAAACAGTGTTTCTTGCGAACCAAATATCCATTCTTTAGTGTTGCACACAGTGAATGGGGTTAGAGCACATTTCAGGGTCTGTATATTTTTTTTTCATGCTTCAAATAAGTGTGTTAAAATTGCACTGCACAGTATAATGTGACTAATACAGTGGCTTCCATTTTATTGGATAGCGGTTTAACGAATATTTCGGCTATTTCAATATAATATCAGAGCACAAAACCATTTCTTATATATTTATTAATAATTTCAACTGATATTCTGATGAGAAAATATTGGAATTTCATTTTATCCGATACCAAAATTTGGACTATCATAGTGTTTTTTGATAATCAGCACCTTGTTCACACCTCCAACTTCGTATGTGAAGCCTTTGTTTACACAGTTTGACACCAATTACCTTGACTGGCTTGAGTACGACAATGAGGGGATTAGTTACGCCTGGACGCACACAGGCACCTTACCTGTGTCAATAGTGGGCATAGTAAATAGATATGTTTTGATTACAGTTGTGGTGATCAGCTTGGGTTCAATGATGCACTTGTTAATTATGACAATTATTTGCAATTTTTTCGGCGTGAAATTTTAATTGTTGAACTGATTAGCTTGTGTATGACAATTTGCTTGGATAATGAAATAAACCTATTCAATCGTTTAACTTGGTCAATTGGCTTAATATTTATTCACTTTTCAGTGCAAAATTTATGGTAAAAATCACAAATGGCCCGTTCTATAAAAATACGTCTCAAAATTCATACCATCTTTCTCCACATGGCTCTCAAAATCTCTCTTCAGCAGACAAGAACGAATCTGGTAAACTCACACACAGTATAAAATACGTAACCGTATTAAAGAAACAAATAAAAACGAAACAAATTACATATATTTAATATTTTTGTTTATTTTTAATTTACAATCTATCCAGGGAAAAATAGTTTACGGTTATTAGTCAAGCATTTAGTCTACTTCCGTTTCCAAAATGACGACCATCGAAGAAGGATTGTAAACATGTGCTGAATTAAGATGGCAATAACTATCAAAGAATATATTCTATACGTCAATTTATTTGAAAAAAAATTTCATATTAAATTCATAAGTAAGTGAAATAAATTATTTTTAGTAAAGTCATTCAGTAAACATGTCAAAAGAAAACGAAAGTGCAAGCTTGAAATTTGCTACGATGTATTATCAATACATGTAGCTCTATACATCTATCTTTGGATTTGGTGTGGAGTAATCGGCTATTCTAATTTTCGGCTATTCGGATAAAACTAGGCTGACAACTTGACTATTCGATAAAACGGGAACCACTGTATATTCTTTGTCTTCATGCACAGTCTATCACATTGTTTGATTTTACAACAAAGCTTCAACACATTTTTAAAACATTAATGAGGAATTTTTTTAAACGTCATACATAACTGGCATGTTTAAATAAGACTTACTTTCTTCATACAGTCGTGGGCGACCTCTTGTAGTTCTGTACTGTTACTGTTTAAGGCCTTATATAAAACATTGAAGATCTTCTCCCTCTTGTTAGAAATGTAGTGGCAGGCAGCCAGGGCTCCTAATATCAGAGCAAAAAATTCAAATAAAATTTTCTCCACAAGATATAGGTATATGTATCCAGAAAAGAATAGATACCTTTTACAGTTACAATTTTTTTTAAACTCAGTTTATGTGTTACAGCAGAACAGTGTTAAAATCTGTCAGGAAATTAATACTGCTTCATGATACAAACTTATTTGCTACATGGCTATATCCAGTTCCACTTACATGTATTCTGTAGCATTCTGTCAAAAATTAACTTTACAATAAACAAAATAACTACATAGACCCAAAGGTGTATTCATTAAATTTAATCTATTGAAAAACAAGTTTCTATCAAAAAATTGTGATCAAGTTGCTCTCAATGCTCACCCTACCCCACCACTCCCCCATTCTTAAAAATATTTTGTACTCACTGGACGGGGAATTTACTTACTGAGAGCACTTTTCCTTAGTGGTACGAGGTCTGTTACTGACTTATAACAGGGAAGCTTCAACAACACAGCATCCTCTGCCTCACATAGACTCAGCAGCTGTCAATCAAAAGGTTAAAGATCAAAATTCAACAAATAAGACACTAGGTAAAAAGCTATTCTAAAAATCATGTACATGTATATAAATATATATATATATATCTTTATGAAAAACTGAGGGATAACTTTGCTTCTTCTTTTATGATAAATTTAAGGATTTTTTCCTCAATTTTTTTTTTCAACATTTTATTCAAATTTCTTTAGCAATATAGAGTACTGTACCTCAGTGAAGAATACATTGTGCTCCAGTACATTAAGATCAATAGTAAATAGCCGGGGCTGTAGAGTAGTACAGAAAGTGTTGCCATCCTGCCAAGGAGAAATAAAAAGATTTTCAAATGATGAAATAAAACTTTTTTTACAGCATGTACTAAACATATGACATATCTCCCAACATCAAGTAACTACTGCTATTCTGTACTCTTTGTGAAAATATATCAGTAAACACAAAATTTCACATAGAAAATGACAAAACAGATGCATATTGTAAGCTTTTGGTGTTCAAATTAACAGAGCATTAATACATGTAGTTCAAGTCCATACTACACAAATTCATAAGAATTTGTAATTCTTTGTTGATTTTGAGGGTGAGAGACAGCTTACACTTTACTTGCCAATATTTCTTCAATGAAACTGTACATGTACTTTAGATTTTATTTGTTAAGTTTGTATTGCATGTGTAGTTATGTGTGCATGTGTGATAATGTGTTTTATTTGAAAGAGGAGGGGGGGGGGGGGTCATTTATTTACCATTAGTCCTATTTGTGTCCTCAAGTTGGTAGACTGTACATAATTTTCTTTTTTCAAGCAAAGTTTTTACCCGTTTCCATGGATTAGGGGGTGGGGGTAACTATGGAGGTCCCTGTAGGTTGGCAGTTTGTAAATATGCTTTTTCCATTATTTGTCTGTTTGTGTCCTAAAGTAGAATAGGAGAGGTGTAGATGACTTACCATAAGTCCTATCTGTGCATTGGCAGGCTGGTGTCTGAGGAGGTGTTTTTTGGGAGGAATCATATCCTGTAGCACCTCTTTATGAGGTTCCATGATGTCTGTCACTGACCTCCCTGTAGTCTTGGCCAAAATTTCCAAGGAATGCATGGCCTACATAATGCAAATACAGATTCACACATTATTAATCTAATGAGATGAAAGGAAAATGGTTATTTTGTAAATTTCTAAAGCTACCCTCATAAGCAAAGAAATCTTAAATCAGTTATCATGGACAACATTCCATGGAAATATTTAAAGTATTAATATTATTTCTCAAATTAAAAAAACAACACTTTTTTGCTTTTAACAAATAATTAGATGAGAACAGATAGAAAATGCATGTACAATCAAAGTTTCTTTCATTATTTCTGCAAAAAATGCAAAATTTTTAAAAACTTGCAAGTGAAACATACTTTCAACTACTCTATTGCATTCACACATGCTGTGAATGCCAATGGCATTGTAACACTGATGGATATAGGTACGCATCATTCCCTTAGACACAGAGAGATAAAAATGTTGACCCTGACTCACCTGTTCCCTGACGATTGTGTTGGGGGAGGTGATCTGTCTGACCAGTTCATGCACCACCTCGTGTAAGGATTTCTTCTGGGCGGCCAGTATCTCCTCCGAGGATTTCTCCCCCTCGATTTCTGAGGCACACTTGATCAGCATGTTCTCCAGGTTATTTTTAGCCAAGTCCACAGCACCACTGGACACCTGATAGTGAAAGTGAAAATAGATTTAATGAAAATGAAAGTTTTAAAGACATTAAATTTTTGCACATCATGTGCTTCTGTTAACACAATATAAATGATTGAAAACTAAATTATGATAAAGAAAGAAATAAACAAATAAAAAACTTTTTATCAAATTCTTTCACTGTAAGCTAAAGTGCATATAATTACAATACAATATATTTAATAATATATAGCACAAATACAAGTGTCATATTTTCATCAAATCTTCACTTCTCTGATAAATTGTTAGAAAAAACAAGTCAAATTTTTGTTTTGTTTACATGGTTAACAGCTAAAGCATGTAAACGAGTGCAGTGTGTTGAATAGAAATCACAAACATGTGAAAAAAGAATAGAATAGAATAAGAAAGAATAGAATACTCTCTGAGTAATAAATGCCTGTTCACCCACCTCTTTGGTGAGGTCCATCATCACAAACAGAAGAGCCTTCAGAAAGATAAACTGATGCTCCAGTACCCACTTCAGAGCCATCCTCTCATACATAAACCTGACAGCCAGGCACCTGTATAATATCATGGTAACTACCGTATTTGGCCGAATATAATACACATTGGTGTAAAATACGCACCCCCCTTTTTGAGCCTGAAACTGGGGGAAAAAACGCAGTTCGGTTGTATTATACGCAGCAGAAAATTTTACCAAGCAGTGTTCTGAACTTTTGAAAATCGCGGTAATTTGCCATGAAAATCGGCGCGGAGATAAAGTGCCGAAAATTTACAGAACACGATATTTTATTCAAATGTGTTTTTATTTTTTAATCTTGACTTTCTATATCGCGGCAATCTGGAGGAAATTATTTATTTTAACAAAGCACGAGATAATGTTACATTAAAGTATTAACAGAGTTTTTTTTTCCAGCAAACGGTGATATTGAAATTATACGTCGCCGTATTCTAACTATTCTTTGTGGAAATAATTTTATTTCAACAAAGCACGAGATATTGTTGCAAGTTTAACACTTGGCATATTTATTTTTAGTTTAAGGTAATCATGTTGAAAATTATGTAAATTTAACAGGGCAAGCGATATTGCAACATCAAAGTATTCATAGACTACGATTTTCCGATTTTGAACTTGAAATTAATTAATTAAATAAATAGCTGATGTTATAAAAATAAAATCAAAATTTAACAAGCGTATAAAGTGTAGTTATCAACACACCTCCAAAGCTGTAAAAATGATGTACAAAGATGGGATATATGTCTTCATACATCGAGGTAATCTTCGTGGATATCTTATTTTCTACAGAGCACGAGTAAATGATAAACTTAAGTTTCAACATACTTCATATTCCTTTTTTTAACTCTCAACCATTTTAACACGAGGCCGATATAAGATAAAGTAAAATTACATTTAACAAGCGTTTAACTGTTTAATGTGTCGTAATCAACACACGCTTATACATACGAAAGATCATAAACCAACCCCCGATTTTTAACAAAGAAAATAATCAAAGCCATTAATAAAGGCAGTAAATAATCAGTGCTCTAACTGTAAAAACAATGATTTGGAGTCAGTAAACAATTGAATTGCCTGGAGGGGTGTTGAGGGGTAATTATCAAGTGACAAGTGCACGTGTTCACAACATTGGCTTCCATTCATTGGGACGTATAGAGGGGTGTTTATGGTGAAATGAATTTTCACTGAGTTATTTAAAACCTAAAATAAAATTTTATTTTATTGTATTTCATTAAAAAATGACTTATTACTTTTTTGACCGAGTGTCTGACTGATTAGGTACATGTGTACTATGATTACGGAAGCACGTGGCAAAGGAATGTGTGAACATCTATAAATAACATCGTTAATGGCGGCCTTCACGGAGACGATGAACGTGCAGCTCAAATTAATTTTAACTTGCTTTTAAATTTAATTTATCTATCAAAAGGTTATAAATATAACATTTTTAACAAGTCTACATTCCAACAATAACTTTCCGAAGTTTTAAATACGGCGATAAACAGCAAGAAATTGCACAAGTCTCTAGTTAATACTACGGTATGTGCGTATGATAGCCGTGTTTCACATGAAAGAAAAACCTATCAAAATCCCATTGTGGTGTAAAATACGCACCCCTTTCTCACAGAAAATTATTTGGGGAAAAAAGTGCGTATTATATTCAGCCAAATACGGTATACAAAATATACACATAATATTACATGTATTTAAAATACTTAGAATTTCTTTTAAATCGCTGTACATTGTTCTCCATTTTTTTCATTTATGATTTGTGCTTAAATTTTCATTTTTAAGTTTTCATTTAGATGTTTTGTTAATATCGTGACCTGATGTAATGTCTTACCCTCCAAACTTGGCATACCAGGCTCTGTCATAACAGAGAGAACACATCCTCTCCACCAGGTACTCAAACAGGGGCAGCTGACAGGCCTAGATACAACAAAGGAATAAACATCAGGAATGAGCATGAAAATTAGAGAGGCAAGTTAAACAATGTCTGTAAAATCAATTTTTTTACATGTGAAAGAAACTTAATAAAAAGTCTCAGCAATCTTTTTACATTCCATATAATGTTCACTTTTCAGAACTTGTTGCTCCATACAGAATTCTTTTTTTTACCCCAGCTTCAGAACCTCAATAATACCTAAACCATGTATCCTGCCAAGACAGACTCCCCAGCAAACTAATCCTGTACACTTACCCTTACCTTAGAGCTCAGTAAGGTAATTACCATGTCCAGAATTAGGACCAGTGCAATGTTCCCGGTTTACACTTACCCTCTCCTTAGATCCCAGTAGAGTAGTTGCTGTATCCAGAATTAGAACCAGAGCCAGGTTCCCCGGTTTACACAGCTCCTTCTCTTCGTGTCCCATGATAACAGCGAGGGCATCTATCAGGATCTGTGTGTCCATACCCTGTAGCTTGTTCTGTTTGTCCCCCACTGGGAATGGGCCTGTATTGACAGAAAACAGTCATTTATGTGTTACTGTTAACAAAACATTATACAATCATGTAAATTCATTCAAAAATATTTGAAAGTGATGTCTTTAATAAATTGTATTGAATAGGCAGATTTTTTTTGTTTTTGTTTTTGTTAAACAGAAAGTACAATAACCTCACTTTTTACAAGTTTGGTTTTCCTCACTATTCAGTCTAGTTCAGCAACTCACAACTCAAACAAATGATTTTTATAAACACAAAAATACTGTTTTATGACTCACCACACTGCTGAGATATGGCTATCATGGTGTAGTGTTTGACCATACACGCCATGAAGGGGAGAGCAATCTGTCTTAACTCCTTAATGGCTGCTGCAACTGTTGTTAAAAGAAAAATTTGCTTTCATTCACTGAATTTCTGTAACTGAAGAAAAATAACAACAGCAAATGCATTATGTTTGAGAAATATCAACACTGATATTTATTTTGCCTTGAAGTCTCTGCTTTCAAGTAATTTATCTACAGCAAAAAGTCATCTGATGAAATAGTCAGTCTAGCCAAGGGTAAAGTCATTGACTCTGACCAAAGATCCAAGCATGTGTTTATGGGTGTCTGGATTGTACACAACCTACCAAACATTCCGGTCAGGGCTTGCTCGTGGACTTTTCTGGAGTGAGCGTCTGGATTTTTGTACAGCTGACTTGTCTGTATGGGAATCTCCTTCTCTGTGAAGCTGCAATTCATGGTTTTGTTCAATATGTATGTACATGTATATAAAATAAATTGTCTCTAACTGAAATCATGTACTATCATTAACAAAGACAGTTTCCATTTTCATAACACTCATGTCACTCTAAAAACAGTTTTACTGAATATCTCAATGTGAAATGAGACAAAGAGACTGTATTTATTCTATTTCTAAGTTTGATAAGATATGAATATCTTTTTTTCCATTTCAGTAAGACAGAAATCATCATCTTTAACTTTTGTGTAGTTGGCCTAATTATTTATTCGTGTAAATGTAGGTATAATTCAAGTAACACAGAATTTTGTTCTTACAAAGTACCTGGTGTGTGATCACATGTACATGAATTACCTGTTGTGTGTGTGTAATTGATTACCTGGCATGTGTAAACAGATTGGTGAGTGTTAGTTTTTCGTCCTCTAAGTTCATCACAGAGACTAAGAAACACTTGATAAGTTCCCAGGCCTGTCTCCGGGCAAAGTTATCTGTGGTGCTGCACTTGAGTGTTGTCAGGGCAAAGTCCACCGCCTGGTGTAAAATAGTAGTAAATGTGTATAAGAGTTAACAGGCATAAGCAAATGGGTCCTTAAATTGATAAATTTTAAGATAAATGTGAACATTTTAAAGTAATAATTCCGAATATATTTATAAAATATGTACTCTATGTACTTTGTAAACTTAATCAGCTTATAGCATTATGATTTTAAAGATGAAGATCATAAAGATAACATTAAGAAATAATTTTTTGTAACATTAAAACCAGTTGAGCTAAAATTAAAGAAAACACAGGAATTGAAGAAATTTAATAACATCTCATTCTAAAGCCTATGTTTCCCTTACTTAGCCTTGTATCTCTCTTATCTAGTGTGTTAGACACAATACCTTTTCCACTGGTTTAGTGATGGGGGTTTTACAATCCTGGAAGTAGATGGTGATACAGGGTCCCACTGTCTCACGGTCATTGTAGTGCAGCTGTGGGGGAAAAATTTATATTCAATTACAAATCCTCCATTTTTTTGTTTAAAGTTTTCATGTCTAAAGTTCTGCATAAACTTATTTAAACAGAGGATTTAGAATTACTTCTCACTTTTTTCAAAAAAAAATTTTTCACATATTGTGTTTTATGAAATGAAAAAGTCACTTGTATACATGTACACATTCTAACCTTCTGGGGTTCTCTCAACATCTTGCGATTTCCTCCACCAAATTTTCCAAGGACTCGAAATGCAACATGAGCGATGTTATCTACTGGACTTCTCAGGGTCTTCCATAAAGCCTGTAAAATATATTAAAGAAGTCAATACGTGTTATCTTCTCATTTAAATTTTCACGTGCTAAAAGTAAGGATAGACTATAGAAGAGATTTCATTTTCAAATTTCATTAATATTAATATTAGTAAAATAATCCCCATAAAATTCTATGATAAAACATGTAAATCTCTACAAAACCTTTACAATCTTAAAACTCAGTCTTTCATTTTGCTTAAGGGGGTCGACTGGGGTTTTCATTGCGCAATACTTCATGCAGCATAGTAAAATAAAGCGTATTTACTCTTTTAAAGCAACTATTTTTACATAATTTATAAAAATTAACAAATTTAGGAAATCTAAGGTAAAAAAATCTAATTACGTTTTTAAATAACTGATTTTTAAACAATTTTTCAAATGATGGGTAGATAGACATCGTAATAGCGTGTTTTTGACGTTATGAATAACCGAAGTTCTTTAAGCGGGGTCATAAATTATGTCATAAAATAAAAAGTATAAAATAGATGCTCTTGAAATTTTAAACACATCAAATTGAGAATCTCACAATCATTTTTATTATTTTTTATGTAAATCTGTGGTATCTGTCATGTTTTGTTGTACTCCATAAAAACAGGAAAATATTTTGAGATGCCCCCTCTGGAAACCAGACAGTAGAATTTTGTGTTTCTCGCAAAAAATGTACAATATAGTATTACCCATCAAATAATATAATTTGAGCAAAAAGTCTATAGTAGCATTTGTATAATTTGCTCCGAAGTGCGAAAAAATCTTATTTTCCTATAAAATCCTATAGTAAATGTACCTGTATTTTGAGATGGTCCCTAAAAAATAACCAGACGGTAGATGCTCACTAAATTTGACAAATATACTTAAGTCAATGTAAGGTACATTTGGTATAAAATTAAAGAGTTTCTCTACAGTAGTTTTCACATAATAAAACCCCAGTCGGCTCCCTTAAAATCAAATTTTAATACCAGGATTGGAGTTCTGAAATGAAGGTAGGAAAAAACCTTAAGAACAAAATGATTCCATTTATTTATTACATCCTAACAATCAAGCATCAACCCATCTTTTTATAACTATCTATACCTGCATGAGTTCTGCTCTGACTGGCTGTATGTGATCGTACAGGAAGTCTGGCTGGAGATTGTCCACACAGAGCTCCAGTGTCCGGAGTCCCTGACTGACCAGTGTCTGTGACCCATTCAGGGCTGACACGAGGGGGTCCATCAACATGGGGAGGTATGGTAACAAGGAGCTCAAACGAACTGGAACGGTCAGACACAGCTCAACGAACAGGTCCTTCATGTGCTGTCTGTGTAGTCCACTCTGTAGGCTGTTCAATCCTATGATACAGAGAAATGAGTGAGCTTGTACTTGATAATTATCTTTTGTCGAATAGATACAATTCAAAATCTTTTTACAGTTTCCTAGGAAGCTACTGAAGGAACCATTATGGTTTCAAATGCAAGTTAATCTGCCATATAAGCAATGGAAAAATGCTTAGAAAAATATATGAATATGTATTTCATGCTCAGTATCTCATATACACATATTTAAGTAAATTAAAGTTCTTCAAAGTTCTGTTTAGACATTCTCTTGTTTATAGATGTACAGTACTTTACTAACAGCCTGCACACACATATACATGTACAAACTTACTTCTGTTCAATACTAGCTGAAACATTTTCAAATGCCAGTAAAACTTAAAACAGCAACACTTAGTTCAGTTCCTGAATATCATTTCTCTAAATTTCAAATAGTCTTTACCTTGTAGTAGATTTGGGAGCAAGGGAAGGAACTCTTGATACAGCAGGTCATGACTTCCCCCTCCAATGGAGCGGAACAATGCCCTTAATAACAGGAAGTAGTTGTACGGTTCCTTGGCACTCATCGCTAGCTCCATGGAGCGGTTCACAATTGTGTGCAAATGTGGCTGTACAAAGATACATAAAATCTTCTCATTAAATGAACATTAAAGTATCAATTCCATATACAGTCAAACCTCGTTATCTTGAACTTAATGGGACCAAAAAAAAACTTTGAGAATTGAGATATCTGAGGATTCAAGATATGGGGGTAAAATTCTTAAAGAATAGGTTTTTGGGGCTTTCTAATCACTTTGACATATCCATGGTATTCAAAATACATGTATCAGTGTTCGAGATATTGAAGTTCAATTGTATTTTTTGGGAAGGGGGGTACCGATATCCTATCTGTACATGATTGTATATGTGACTCTACACATAAAAGAACTAACTCGTGCAAGTCGCTTTTTCTGCAGACTTTAAGCAAACATTCACAAATGAATTAAACTTAACTTGCAGAAGTAATATATCATGGTAATCATGTGTTTTCTAAATTCTAACAAATTAACTTACCTTCAACATCTGTTCATTCTCATTAGCAAACAGAGACACTGAGCCAAACACCAGTTTAAACAACTTCAGATAGAGATTAGAACGGTCCAGATTGGCTGTAAACAAGAAGTCAGATATTACCAGCAACATTTCCTAATAATTTTATATTAAAAAGAATTTTCAACTAAAACAAATTAAAGATTATCATGGATATATTTATGGAGTGATTAAACGTTCATTATTAACTTTGATTTTTATTAATAACCACTTGGTTATATATGACCTGAATCATGTCAGACTTTTCATTCTTGTATTAAATGTATTCCAAGACTCGTATCTATATGTATAAAACTAATAAATTCAAGTAACTTCACTAAGAAAGCTCCCTTCACTGATTGCAGTGTTTACTTACATCCCATCTCCTCCAGTCTGGCCAGCAGGTAGTCAACAAGAATAGTGGCAAATGTGGCAGAGGTGGTAGGATTAGCCAGGAATGAATTGGCAACAATCTGAAAGTAAAAGCAGTGACAGTCAATCAAACCATATCACACAAACAAGAGGCCCAAGGGCCTTAACGGTCACCTGAGTACAATACAACAATTTAGAGGATCCATAGAGTATTAAAATGAAATGAAAGGTGAAGCTTTGTTGCCCAAAAGCAAGAAAAATAGGGTGATCAGGATCAACAAAATAATTAGTCTACTATTCATTAACAGTTCTTAAAACATTGCTGTGACGTCATGCCTTTGTTCTTGCAGTCTAAAAATTTACCTGTAGCCGTCCAATAATAATAATTAGCAGTCCAATAATATATTATCGGACGGCAGTGATAACAAAATCAGACAGTAGTTTAAAAACAACAACTAGAGTGAAATCAAAGTTTAATTTGTCCAGAAACCAAAAAAAAGTAGGGAGGAAAAAAATTCAGGGAAAGTGAACGCGAGGAAATTAAGTTGTTAAAAATAGCAAATCCAAGAAGAAACTGGAGTTTTAACCTTCCTCAAAAGTAACACTTTCCATTTGGTTTTTTGCAAAGCGTTTCGATACAGCACTGTGAATAAGCCAATTTAAATCCATTTCTGAAAAAGAACCAGTCTGCGAATATCTTCATTTAACGAGGTTTGTTCGCCAATGACCGCACTTTTAAAACCGAAGATTTTTATTATATCATCCAATCAAAATTTTAGATAAAAAACCGCATTTTTACTTTAAATGCATTTTGAAGATATCATCCAACACTGTATCTGTATCAATGTCAAATGCACTAAATAAAAAAAAAATATTCCGAATCATAAAAAAATCCTTCATCACCTGACCACTGTCCATAGTTCCTGCTAAGTCAAACGACTGCCATTGAGTGAATGAAACAAAAGAGTTCACTCACTGATTTTACTGTCTAAAGAAAAAAAAACTTTCTCTTTTCTTTTGTCTACTTATTAGACGATTTCAAGGTAGAAAACTATTGATGCCTGAACTCCTATTGTGTAAATATCGGACTCCTCCAGGTAACTTTTGGACATTTAAATAGCAATGTTTTAAGTAAGATATATGCCTCATACAATTCTATATGTAAAATTATCAGACTGTTTTCAGCCCAAACGGGCCTCAAACAGTCTGATAATTTTACATATAGAACAGTATTCGGCATATATCCATTACATAAATTAGGTTCTAATCTGTTCCCAATTTATCACTATCACCATACAGTATATTAACAAACTACCAGTACTTTTGTACTATTTTAATTCCTTGTTGTAATCTCTTACATTGGCCTCTCTTGGTCTTTGATGAACATTTAATAAGACAAGTTATTTTTGTCTCATTTTCATTTATCTATTACTTACAAGTCCACATGATCATTAAAACTATGAAAATACTTTTTGTATTATACAATAAAAATTCTTGCATAATTCTCTTATTCTATTAATTTTTCAAGTACATTATTTACAATGATTAATTATCAAAAGTAAACGGCGAAGGGGAATAACTCCTCTCAGTAGAATGCAAATTAATTGAGCCCTGGCTAGGACCAGAACACTTGACCAAATGGTCCATATGTTCAAAAATCTGGTAAAAATACCCTTCCTTATTACAACTTTTACACTTTTTGCCTCTGATATGCCCAAGTGCAGAGAAGATTTTTAAAGAAATAATGCATTTTCACTACAGATTCACTATATTATCAATAGAGCCCCTCCCCCCCCCCCTTTCACCACCGAGAAACACCAGAGCCTCTCACCCTGGGACCAGAAGTTTCAAGTTTGCTCATCATAAGTAATCACTTTGTTTAACTGCTTAACATTAAGGAGCAGACAGGATTATTTAATAGAATTAATGCATTTTCACTACATTATCAACAGCCCCACCTTTATACCAGCACATCTGACCCAGTGGTCATGCAATTCACTACTCTGGAAGAAGCACTCTTGCTCATCATAACTATATACTTAGCATCTTTGCTTTTTAACCAGAAGCAGAAAAGAATATTTTCCAAGAAATTTTGATTTTTCACTATATAATCAATAGAGCCCCCCCCCCCCCTTTTGACCAGAACCCTTGACCCTGGGGCCATGAAATTCACAATTTTAGAAGAGGCATCCTTGCATATCATAACAATGTACTTAGTTTGTTTAAATAGTACCCAGGGGCAGAGAAGAAGATTTTCAAAGAAATAATTCACCTTCACTGTAGGAGCTATATAGCCCCACCCTAGCACAAGAACCCCTGTCCCTGGGGCCATGAATTTCACAATTTTGGAAGAGGTGTCCTTGCTTATCATAACAATGTACTTAGTTTGTTTAAATAATACCCAGAAGCAGAGAAGAAGATTTTTAAAGCATTAATGCATTTTCACTATATAATAAATAGAGCCCCGCCCTAACATCAGAACCCCTGACCCAGGGGCCATGAAATTCACAATTTTGGTAGAGTTACTCTTGCTTATCATAACTATGTATTTAATTTGTTTCAATAATACCCAGGAGTAGAGAAGAAGATTTTCTCAGAAATAATGCACTTTCACTATATGATCTATATACCCCCCCCCCCCCCAGCACTAGAACCCCTTACCCTGGGGCTATGAAATTCACAATTTTGGTAGAGTCACTCTTGCTTATCATAACTATGTATTTAATTTGTTTCAATAATACCAAGGAGTAGAGAAGAAGATTTTTTAAAGAAATAATGCACTTTCACTATATGATCTATATACCCCCCCCCCCCCCCCAAGCACCAGAACCCCTGGCCCTGGAGCCATGAATTTCACAATTTTGGTAGAGTCACCCTTGCTGATCATAACTCTGTATCTAATTTGTTTAAATAATACCCAGGAGTAGAGAAGAAGATTTTCAAAGAAATAATGCACTTTCACTATACGATCTATATAGCCCCACCCTAGCACCAGAACCCCTGACCCTGGGGCCATGAATTTCACAATTTTGGTAGAGTCACCCTTGCTTATCATAACTATGTATTCAATTTGTTTCAATAATACCCAGGAGTAGAGAAGAAGATTTTCAAAGAAATAATGCACTTTCACTATATGATCTATATAGCCCCGCCCTAGCACCAGAACCCCTGACCTTGGGGCCATGAATTTCACAATTTTGGTAGAGGGCTCAATGCTTATTACAATCATGTCAACAGTTTGACTGCTTGATGTCCAGGAGTAAAGAAGAAGATTTTTAAAGATTGCATTAATTTTGATGGTTTTAGCCCCACCCCTCAGGCCCCAGGGGTCAGGGACCATGAAATTCACAAATTTTGTTCCCCTTCACACATAGATGCCATATGCAAAAATTGGCTGAAATTGGTTCAGCGGTTTCAGAGAAGAAGCTGAAAATGTTCAAATGTTAACACACGACGCACGACGACGGACGAAAACATATAGCAATAGGTCACCTGAGTGACTCAGGTGACCTAAAAAAGAACTGGCAATCTGAAAGGCAGATCACATTAGTAGTTTTTCTCTAAGTTAATAAGCCTGCAGTGAGCTATTAACTGTATTTAATTCCATCAATACATGTACATGACATCATCACATGTGTGCAGATGAGAATTTGTTTTTGTTTGTATTAATTACACAAGTACACCTACTGAAGTGGTTTTATAATTAAGAGATTCAGAGTTTATTTCTTTTCGACTTCTATCTCTTGATTGAAATGTGTATGTAAATCTTTTCAACGGCCAAGAGCAGACAACAATGACTGGATTGTGAAGTAAACAGATAAAGAAAGAGTTGTGTCCCTTAATTACCTGTAGAGCATAATTGTTGTGAATCCGATTCACCATGTACTGAAAAACATAACATATTCTATGAGGTGGTCTGTTATTATGACATTTACAAAGTAATTAAGAAGAATTATAAAAATTCTGGATATTACTTTTCAAATATATACTTTTTTAATTTTGAAACTTGGAAGAGCAAATGCATAAAGTACCTCAACAGTTGATGAGAAAATCTCTTTGAAAGTCAATGGATGCATCATCGTGAACTATAATAAAACAAAAACAACATATCATTTTCATACTCCCTACATACAATGTGCTAATACCTTAATTGTAGCAATCACAATAACATGGATCTGTGATACTCACCACTCCAGCAAAATGTTCCAGCACCTCCTTCTCTTCTTTAGTTCTCACTGTTTGAACCCTGTCAAGCCAAAATGAAAAAAAAATTAAATATGTAGTTTTTAGCTCACCTGAGCTGAAAGCTCAAGTGAGCTTTTCTGATCACATTTTGTCTGTAGTCCGTCTGTCTGTCTGTCTGTCCGTCCGTCTGTAAACTTTTCACATTTTCGACTTCTTCTCCAGAACCACTGGGCCAATTTCAACCAAACTTGCCACAAAGCATCCTTGGGTGAAGGGGGTTCAGGTTTGTTCAAATGAAGGGCCATGCCTTCTTCCAAGGGGAGATAATTAAGAATTGGTGAAAATTTGGTGTCATCTTTTAAAAATCTTCTTCTCAAGAACCATTGAGCCAGAAAAGTTAATGCTTAGGTGAAACCTTCATTACATAGTGTAGATTCAAGTTTGTTCAAATCATGACCCCCGGGGGTAGGGTGGGGCCACAATGGGGGATCAAAGTTTTACATAGGAATATATAGGGAAAATCTTTAAAAATCTTCTTCTCAAGAACAACAAAGCCACAGTTAGTCATATTGATATGGAATCATCCTCAGGTAGTGTAGATTCAAGTTTGTTCAAATCATGACCTCTGGGGGTAGGGTGGGGCCACAATGGGGGATCAAAGTTTGACATAGGAATATATAGGGAAAATCTTTTAAAATCTTCTTCTCAAGAACAACAAAGCCACAGTTAGTCATATTGATATGGAATCATCCTCAGGTAGTGTAGATTCAAGTTTGTTCAAATCATGACCCCTGGGGGTAGGGTGGGGCCACAATGGGGGATCAAAGTTTGACATAGGAATATATAGGGAAAATCTTTAAAAATCTTCTTCTCAAGAACAACAAAGCCACAATTAGTCATATTGTTATGGAATCATCCTCAGGTAGTGTAGATTCAAATTTGTTCAAATCATGACCCCTGGGGGTAGGGTGGGGCTACAATGGGGGATCAAATTTTTACATAGGAATATATAGGAAAATTCTTTAAAAATCTTCTTTTCAAGAACAACAAAGCCACAATGAGTCATATTTATGTGGAATCATCCTCAGGTAGTGTAGATTCAAATTTGTTCAAATCATGACCCCCGGGGGTAGGGTGGGGCCACAATGGGGGATCAAAGTTTGACATAGGAATATATAGGGAAAATCTTTAAAAATCTTCTTCTCAAGAACAACAAAGCCACAGTTAGTCATATTTATGTGGAATCATCCTCAGGTAGTGTAGATTCAAATTTGTTCAAATCATGACCCCCGGGGGTAGGGTGGGGCTACAATGGGGGATCAAATTTTTACATAGGAATATATAGGAAAATTCTTTAAAAATCTTCTTCTCAAGAACAACAAAGCCACAATGAGTCATATTTACGTGAAATCATCCTCAGGTAGTGTAGATTCAAGTTTGTTCAAATCATGACCCCCCGGGGGTAGGGTGGGGCCACAATGGGGGATCAAAGTTTTACATAGGAAGATATAGGGAAAATCTTCAAAAATCTTCTTCTCAAGAACAACAAAGCCACAATTAGTCATATTGATATGGAATCATCCTCAGGTAGTGTAGATTCAAGTTTGTTCAAATCATGACCCCTGGGGGTAGGGTGGGGCCACAATGGGGGATCAATGTTTTACATAGGAATATATAGGGAAAATCTTTAAAAATCTTCTTCTCAAGAACAACAAAGCCACAATTAGTCATATTTATATGGAATCATCTTCAAGTAGTGTAGATTCAAATTTGTTCAAATCATGACCCCTGGGGGTAGGGTGGGGCTACAATGGGGGATCAAATTTATACATAGAAATTAGGGATGGCAACGAATATTCGAACATTCGAATATTCATTCGATGAGTTGATATTCGAATATGAATTTAATATTTGAATATTCGGTGTTTTTTTCAGATTTCATAAAAAGAAGTACTGTGATTAATAAAGTTTGGTTAGAACAGTGCTGGAATTATCCCTGTTTAATTTACTAGCGATTAATTTCGATCGCCTGATTTCTTTGACTACTTTCTTATCTTATAGATTTACTAAATTACATGTAATTTGTTTTGAGTATAAGGTGTTAAAGAATTGTGCAATAATGCTTTATGTATAATACAAAACGTACTTGCATAGTTTTATTAGTTAAATACGATCGGATCTAGAATCGAGGACAACAAAATGAAAACCTTCTTAGAATGTCTAAAAGACGTGAATCGTATACTTATCAAAACAAATTTAATTGATCATTCAAATGAATGTCCAATAGAATTAGACTGTAATTAATATTGTAAAGGGCTCAATTTCAGAATAAATGATTATATATTGGGTTGTACATAATCCTGAATTTCATATTCATTATCGGGAAATTAGTTAATTATGTATAATTATGTTAATTATGTAGGAAAATTGTCGTTGGAAATATTTGTTTATATTTTAAAAACATTGTTTATCAAAGATTATAATTATATCTCTAATTAGGCAGATAATTGTAATTTATTACACATACTGAAATCTGAACAGTATACCGTTACGATTATCTTGCCTTTGGCAAGACGACCGGTTCCTCAGTTGGAGCTACTATAAATACACATGTTTCATTTGTTAAAATTATGCTTTTCTACATTTAAATCAATTATTTATTTCAAACATTGACAAATATCAAATTTCTTATTGTAAAAACAACTACAAAAGTCTTCATACAATTTTACTTCCAATATCTTACGCTAAACCTTTCATGAGAGTAGCTAGGATGTTGCATTTTAAAAATAAAAAGATTTAATTTATTTTATCGAATATTCGAATATATTCGAATACTTTCATTGAATATTCGAATATGAATCATTGCCAAAATTGACATCCCTAATAGAAATATATAGGAAAATTCTTTAAAAATCTTCTCAAGAACAACTAAGCCACAATTAGTCATATTGATATGGAATCATCCCCAAATATTGTAGATTCAAGCTTGCTCAAGGCATCCTCCAGTAGTAGGGTGGGGCCATAATGGGGGATCAAAGTTTTACAAAAGAACATATACAGAAAATATCCTTAAAAATCTTCTTCAATCTCAAGAACAACAAAGCCATGATCAGTCATATTGATATGGGAGCATCCTCAGGTAGTGTACATTCAACTTTGTTCAAATCATGACCCCCCCCCCCCCCCCCCCCAGGGTAGGGTGTTAGACATATTTAAAATTCTGTTTTAAAGAACAGCAAAATCATGATTAGTTATATGAAGATAGAAGCATCCTCAGAAGGTTTATATTCAATTTCATTCAAAACATGGCACCTTGGGGTAGGGTATGCCTAGAACAGGCAATCAAAGCTTTATATATGAATATATAGGAGAAATATAGGAGAAGAAATCTGCTGACAAAGAACAGCAGGGCCATATTGACCCAGGTGAGCGTTGTGGCCCATGGGCCTCTTGTTTTTTAAAAAGTGTAAGCTTCAAAAGTCTAAAACTTAACATTTCATACAAAAATTACAAAAAATGTAAAAAGAAGTTTCAAAATGAAGTTTACAATTCACTTTCTGAAAAAATTTTCTTCCTGTTATTATGATGTACTCTATTTTTATAAGGTAATACATGTATTTAATGGTTGAAACCTGAAGCCCATTGGATGCAAATTTCAGAACCAATATGATAATAATAGACACCATACAATACAATAATTTGCCCTGTAAATACAGAATACAGCCCTGTGAATACAGATTACCAGTATATTTGCATTTGCTCTAGTCTGTTTTGGTTACTTACACTGCTGGTCTGATGACCGCTTGACCATTAGCTCCGATATTGATAGTGTAGATGTCCAGCGCCTGCAAAGCAAACTTGACAAGACGGATGTAGACCAGGGCCTCCTTAGGCAGGAACTGCTTGTTCTGGACTGTAGCCGCTTCTGATAACATAGAATCTTAGAATATTCATAAATCAATTATACTAGTATATTTACTTGAATGTTGATTGACATTTTTTTACTCAGTGTATTACATATACTTAGCACTTATTTTTTCTCCTTATATTTCTTTTTTTTTTTATCTTCTGACATCATCAAATATGTTGATTGATTAAATACAAAAATAACTTTTCATTTGCAAGAACTTCATTACCCGAGACCCTACTGCTCATAAAAATTTCATTCTAGCATCAATAAACAATAAGCATGACAATTTTTTTTTCTTCCCTCATTAACGTCAAATAATTTTCATGTGAAAATGAGGTGTTGCCAAAATTTTGTGACCTATAGTAAATCAATAATTGATTAATTTAAAATATCCTAGTATAATTATAATTTTACCTATTAGGATTTTCATTGTAATATAACACTGTTATATATGTTTTATATAACACTCAAATTTCTCACCTGTCCCTACAGCCTTACAGGATACAATGCCCCAGGTGATGGTTTTAACTCCACACACTAGAGTCTTGACCAGACTTCTACAGTCACTGACTGAATAAACGCTGTACTGACTAGGAGTCACACCAAAACGGTTCTGCAGTGACTGTAAAATAAAATGTTTAAAATTTTGTGTAAAAAGCCACAAGCATCTTTGAATTCATCAATGTAAACAACTGTTTATAGAGTTTTACATGCAGTTAAGTACAGGCAAGATACATTACTATCTTAATTTGTGTGTAACACAAAATATCACAAGCCTGTTATCTCAGTTTCTATTTAAGTGAAAATTGGTATCCATAATTTAGGACAATTGATGTCCTTGACCCCCACTGACCTTTTCAGTCCATGCCTTGTCGGTGTCCTTGGTGGCTGTGTCTGCCAGTAGTGAGGCAGTCATTGGGGGCTTACTCTCCTCTACCGGAGTCTTAGGGGCCTCGACCTTGACCTCCACATTCTGTTTGGCATCAGTCAAGGTCGGTGTCTGTTGTGTAGGACTCTGTGGCTGCTGTTTGCTACAGTAGATAAATAAAGATTATGAACAATTTAAATCTTGGAACACTTTTTGTAACGAAATATAGATTTCTGTTATCATTTCTGTTTTGTTTGTGTAAGAAAAATTTATGGGGGTAAAATTTCCCCATTTGCTACCTGGGTATCAATCGCATTAGGTACAGGCATGTGCCTTGTGACAGATACTTTAATTTGTGATCTGATAACCTTGTTCTCTACAAATTTAATTTCATGACAATAAAAAAATTAATTTCCCAATCTACAGTGACTTGCAAAAAAACCTGACCATTTCTGTAGTATCTGCGGCAGCTGAATCTTGGCAATGGTTTTAAACTTCAGGACAAAAACTTCCAGCATTCTCATCAACAGTTCTCTCCCCTAAAATGTGAATTTAAATGTGAGCCGTAACCCCAACCCCAACAAAAAAAAAATTGTTTATAACTGCTCAAAAAAAAAAAATTTTTTTAAACAAAGATAAAATGCACAAGTATCAAAAATGCCAAGAAATCTTAGATTATGAAAAGAAAATTCTTAAAAAGTGCTCAGACTACTTTGTTGTTTTCCTCCATCAAACAATAGCATTCTAAATGCAATATAAACACCAAGAAATAAATATCAATTGAAAGTTTTTAACAATTTGCAAAATGGCTGAATGTTTCTCCATTTAGTCTTCCTTTTTGCTTTAAGGTATTAGAGGTGTAATACGCCATTTCCGGTAAAAATGACGGCATTTACTGAGGTGTCTGACATCGGCAGTTTTCGGAACACTGTACTTCGTAAACAAAAATGGCGTGTCGTCAAGACGGCCTAGGACGCTAACATAAAACATACACCAAATAAAAGGAATATAACTTAGCGGAGGAGAGAATAAATATGATATTACGTAGAAAACACGTTAATATATATTGTTAGACAAAATATGCAGTCAAAATGATGATACCTTCAAATACACACTTCATGGGTTTTTCCAACTTCTAAAAATGGCACCATTTTCGAAGAACGAACGAAGTATACCTTTCTTCAAAACTTCACATTCGCATCGCGATTTCTTGTGATACTCTCAATATCAGCAAACCGTTTGAGGGGGAAAATGTACGTAATAGGTACATGTAGTATTGCGTGCATTGTAGAAGTGACGTTCAATGTCCATGCGTAAAATATCTGAGATGTTCAAAATATATCAGTAAAACATAGAATGTAAATGTGTTTACAACTTTAAAGAAAAAATTTAATATTAGATATGGGAATAAATGATTTATTCTTGGTTGGGTTAGGGTGATTTTTGCTATTTTATTTACATTAATTTATTTATTTATTTTTACAGAAGTTTACTGTTTAGAAGGGGGGGTTGAATATTTTTTATTGATATTTTTTATCATGTGGGGAACAAATTATTTTTTTTTTTTTACCTTTTGATAAGTGTTTCTGTCAGTATATATTTTAGTCTACATTGTATAGTAATGTTTTGATCTGTAAAGAACTTCATGCACATGTAAGCTGCAAAAATGTAGGTCATTTTGCAAATCTTCGTCTGGGTCAAGGTCACTGTGACGAGGTCAATCTTCTGAACAAATGAATCTGACTAAAGTGAAGTGTATTCAATATGACAATAACCTGTTGTTTATATATGCTCATTATTTCATTAAGTATCACATATCCCATGACATTTACAAAAAATAATGGCTTAAATTTTTAGGGGTACATCGCTATGATACAGAATATAGATAAATATTGTGGATGGAATAAATTTTTGTTGTTGTTATATTATCACAAACACACTTTACACAAAATTGATATTGTTCTTTTATTGATCTTTCCTACCATATTTTATTTTGACAGAATATTACAAACGGTTTTATGAAAAAAGTCGCCAAAATTGTCACTCAAAGTAGACAAGTTTCAATTACAAGTATTCATATATCATACCTGATGAATTTGAACTAAAAAGAATGCATATATACAATCTGTACTGCTTAGTGTTGCAGCTGAATACATGAAACATTCAACTGTTTGCGACTAACTAGAATAGAGGTAAAAATTACATCTGTACCTTTTGTCTATTAAAGGTGCACCAGTGGTTAGAGGGTACAGGTATGAAAATAAGTATAGAAAAATTATGTTTGGACAGAATTGCATGAAACTTTGGGAAATATTGCCTGAAGTGTTGTCCATTATAACTAAACTGAATTTAGTCATATTCAAGGTCATGACCATTACACCCTTAATACCTTAATTACATAAATTTATTAGTTTAATACACAAAACACACTTTAAAACTGGTCAATTAACTTACATTTCCGTTTTCTGCCTCACTCTTGGCTCTGATACACTCCACAAGGTTCAGCAGAAGTTTACAGGACATTGTCTGGATACTGCTGGGGAGGGATTCATCATGGACATTCTTAGAAAACAGATTGACTGCCATTGATAGCTCTTTCAGGGGCAGGGACTGACGCACATGATGGACTAAGTCAGCTAGTGTACTGTAGGCCAGGGGGCTGTCAAAGGAATAAGCAATGGAATTATAAATACAGATTCTAATATCCGGTATCTAATGATACATTGGAATTCTTTTTATACAACTGAATTAAATTTTCATTTGAAAAAACATGTCTCACAAGAATACTAATTACACATTAAGTCATGATTCAAATCTTACTGAATAAAATTGATTTTCCTCTGGAGGTAACACTTGGAACATTTATTATTACACAAAATTTTATTGTTGATGTATAAATTTAAATTCCGTACCAAAAATTTACACTGCCCAGTACATGAACAAAGTAAACGTTAATGTTAAAAACACTATTTGAGCAATACAAGCAGTTTTTATCATGTTTATAGACAGCTAATTGGACAAAAAAAAACCTGTTTCATCCACTACACACAAATATAACACACCGTAAAGATTCATGAGTTGTCCATCCTGATCCAATCAAAATCTTCTCATCAAACAGTTTGTCAATGACCTGCACAAACTCTGTAGAGAGAAAATAGTTACATTTGGCTCTGCTATAAGAAAATAATCAAGAGAAAACTGCATCTACAGTATTTTTTTATTTAATTTAATAAATAGTGAAGCAACAACCATCAATGTCTTCTCCTTTATATTTCTTCCTTCCGATTTCAAAATGACTTTATAAATTCAAAAAAAAAAAACAATATGCTAAGGGAACTAGAATTTTAAAGAGTCAAAGTGAATTTTTTTTTTTTTTTTATAATTTGTCAGTTGCACAGAAATGAGTCTAAGCAAAGATTCTACTTCCAGGCTATGCGAAAGTCTGAAATTTTTACAGGACATAAGGTCTGGTAAAAATATATATTTTACCAGACCAAGCATTTACTTACCAGACCGACCTTTTTTCTTAAATTCAATCATACATCATTATGATACAGAGATTGAAAAAAGGAGGGGGGATTCTCACTTAAATTGAATCTCAAATAGATCCAGATTTGAGATTATTAAAAAATTGTTTTATTGATATGAACAAGCTTACTATAAATAATTTTCCTTTTTAAAAGGTAATATACAATTCCACACAATTTTCTCTTTTTCTGGTTATTTGACACGTACGAACGAAATAAACATTGTCAAAGATTTTTTTTAACTTAAAATGCACTTTAAAATATATTTATTTCTTTCCTGAAGTAACTCATTACAGTTACTCTTGTTTAATAATGAAAATAATTTCGCCCAACCGAATCTACATATGAGCTATCTATGGATCTATATTCCATGACAGAGGAAATTCGAGTTAGAAATAAACGATCATGACAGGATTCCTGGAGATTAAAATTAAACATGTATTACTGCTAAATGGATCAAATGAAGGATATGTGTGGACAATGAGGCCATATGTACAAGTAAATTAAGATTTTTTAATTAGGCCTTAATTTTTCATCGGACAATCGATCCTGTATCCTGAATTTTTTTACCGACCCGAACCAAATTTTACCGGTAAAAACCGACGGTCCGGTGACTTTCGCACAGACTGTACTTCATGCCAATTTGTACACATCATGCTGAAATTTGATTTCTGAAAATCACAGCACAAGGTGATCCAAATCTTTTATGCAAAGGTACATTGTACACTACATCCTGTAAAAATCCCTCATATATTTTACATTCTGACAGTAAAATTAATATTTCACAAGTGCTTCTTACTGTTTCTGAGGTCTGTGGCCAGTATGTGCCGGGCTGCTATCAGTAACTCCTTCCTTAGATGGGCCACTTCCTGCGGGCAGAATTCTAGCAATCCAAGAAGTCCACTCACCATGTGATTGGCATGCTGCTGGACTTGTTCCTAGAAATCATGGTGGAATAAAAATACTGTGTATGTATTCCAAAAGGATGAACATACAATATAAAATGTAAATACTTCAAACTTAAAACAAATTTTAGAAAGCTTTTCAATCAAATCAAAATCATTACAACAAATCTATTTTCTAAATTAAACTGAACAAACCAGAATAAGTCCTAAAGCTGACATAAAGATTTACCTATTAAAGCTGACAAAAACTTACCAAATATTCATCTAGTAAAAAAAATTCTGCAGAAAGCATTTGGAGCTTTCAAATCATTTTTTAAAATCTTTAGCTGCCAATGTTTCATATGATCCTAATTGTGCTTTCAATTTGAAACTTTTTTTATTACCACCACTCAACTGTATCTTTAAAACACATGAGAAGTAAATCATAAGTTGTGTAAATTATCAACCTGATAAATCCTGATGATGTAAGCTAGGAATGAAAGAGTTTTGATCTGAGCGGCGATGAAATCCACAAACACCTCCTTATTGAATGACGGACTGGTCCTGGAAATCAAAGTAAACAATTACTAGATGGTCTGTATTCAAGTTCCAGCTGTACACACTAGAGAATGGGATTAGTATTCAGCGAGAAACATTGAAAGAGAAAGAGAAAAAATGAAAGGAAGAAAACAATACAAAAATAGAAAGAGAATGCCCTAAACACACACGAGAGAGAGAGAGAGAGAGAGAGAGAGTGGAGGCAGAGTATTTACTTGTGAGTGGCTGAGGGTTGTAGTGTAATGGTGTTCATGATCAGGGGAATGAACTCTGCAACTTCCTGGTGTACATTAGGTTTGTACAGTTGGTACATGAGGACCACTATAATGGGTAACTCGGCCAGCACCTTCAGTGACAGGACACCACGGGGGATAATGTTGTACTGAAATCAGTAAGGTTTAACTCGTTAACCTGTATCACATTGTAGTGTTTAATAAAAATAAGTGCACATGCACCAGACAAACTGTGTACCTTCATTATTAACAAGACTTGATATCCATATTGCAATATATAATGAGCATTTTTTTTTTTTTTTAAAAAAACATATCTAAATTCTTCAGACTCTATGATCATAATCTCAAAAATAATATGAAGTTGTGACATTTTGAGTAAAATTATGTCAAGAGGCATTTTTGCTACAAAAAAATCATTCACAAGCAAGTTAACCAAAATATCATGATTTTTGACATGATATAATGATGGCATACTGATATGTTCTGATTGTCGGCGTTTTTCTTGTCTGTTAGGATGGTTGTCGTGGTGAAGGTCTCCTGCAGTATGGTATCGACATTGACCTCCGTAACGTCCTTGACCTTAATCTGACTGCGAGGCTCAAAAATTTTGGTCAGGTGACTAGGAATGGTGTTGTAGATAGTTTTCACAAACTGAAGGAAGTCTTTAATCTGCAAAAAATAACACATCTGACTTTAATTTTAACACATACTGGTACTATCATTTTGACACTGCAATGCCCATTACATTTGACAATATACCTGTACTACTAATAGCTAACAGTACAAAATATGCTTCCAGTAAAAACGACAAAAATAATAATCATTCAAATCTTACCTTAGCAACAAATATTTTTTGTAACAAAGTACATTGTTACAAATTCCCAGTAAAAAAAGAATAATGTAAACAATTCTAAACTATGTGAAAACAATGCAGTGTTGACATTTTTGGAATTACTGACGTAAGGCTTCATCAGGACAATTTTTCTATACAATTTTTTTTCAAAATTTCAATCATTTTGTGTTCAGTAGAGTTGATTTTTTTACCTCCTCGTTCATCTGTGGTCTGTACTGTTTGTGTAGCTCTATTATAATACGTAAACAAACCAAGACGTTCTCCTCATTCTCAATCTATAAAAGACACAGGGGTACATACTAATTATTTTTAGAAATCGGTAGGGGAAGAAAGTAGTGCACTAAAATGGAACAGTTTGAAAGAATTTGAATTGTCAGATGTATTCATGCCCTGAATTCTTGAAATTCCCTACTTTTAATTTCATTTTTAGATGTTTTAGAGAATGTGCATTTTGCTGGAAAATGAATCTGAAATGCCACCTCAAGATTTTAACCAGTGTGGAGAACTTGATGAGCTTTCATTTGAGTAGTGTCCCATCCTTCAACAAAAATTAAGGGAGAAGCTCTGTGAGATTACATTAAAATTGTCGCCTATGGAAAATGTACATGTATTAGTGGACTGTACACACATTGGAAAGAAAACTGCATTTCAAATGTTTATGTTTTACATTATATTCCATGTCCTAAATTGCAAGGAATGTTAAACCTACTTGTATGGCATATTTTTGACAGGGATTTAGTAAAGAAAAAATTAATTCATTTTTAGGAATACATATGTCTTATTGAGTTTGAATATAGAGGGCAGGTTCAATCTAAAACTTCACTGATTTTCAAGTATACCTGTGAGTTTGAACATGAGGGGCAAGGTGAGTAATAAAATGTATGTGATTTTCATGGATACCTTCAAGAGTTGGAACAAGTGGGACAGGATCAATTTAAAACCTAAGGCCTAAAATGAAAATTTGTTTGCAACTGCCTACCGACCCAATGAAAATGCACTTTTTATCAGCTATTTTGTATTATTATTTTTTTTTTTAGTTTCAAGTTTTCAGGATTTTGAAACTGTTTCATTTTGTATTTTTGATTTTTGTTTTATCAATCAGTAGTTTATAACAAGTGGAGCTCGCTTATGTTTAGTTGATAGCCTATTTTTGTTGAATTTTAACAAAAATCTGAAAACTACATTTTTTTTTTCAAAAAAAAAAATATACCTACCTTCCTACCTACCTACCCACTTTAAATATTATAGGTCAGCAACTGCAAACAAAGATTTTTTTAAGCCTGGCCTAAACAATTTCTAAGGACCTTTAACAGTTTTAACATAAGGAACAGAATCAATGTAAAAATTAAGCAATTTTCAAGGATAACTTCAAGAGTTTGAACATGTGGGACAGGATCAATTTAAACCCTAATCAATTTCTAAGGACCTTTAACAGTTTTAACATGAGAAACAGAATCAATGTAAAAATTAAGCGATTTTCAAGGATACCTTTAAGAGTTTGAACATGAGTGAAAGGATCTGTTGGACATATTTCTTCAGGTGTTCATTGCTAGGAATGCGGTGAATTATCTCCAGCAGTAACTTTCTCAGTTGCTAAAAAATCAAAACATAAACAGCTAAGTCTCATAGAGAATTTCTGTTCCCTAGGATGATCTTTCTTTTTAGCATACTAGTAATTGATTTCAGAAGTTTATGAGAATCAAAATAAATGAATTTTTCTCCTCATATATGTTTTTCAATACTAAGGAATACATTTCACTTCAATTATGAAAAATTATAAGATTCTCTTTTCCTCCTCTTTATTTTCTTTATTTTCAACATGTCAAGATTTTGCTTCCTAAGACTGACATGGCTAAAATAATGACTCTACAGTCTGATGATCGATTAACAGTTGCTTTGAACATTGTATAAATATTAATAAACAGCATGGATCCTGAACCTGCATGTTTTGTTCTGCAATGAACTGAGGCTCCCCTTCATCTAGGATCTTGAGGAAGACCTTCAGAGCCTCACCCAGAAACTGTGAGTACTGGGGGGACAGTACAACACTCTGTAATGAGAGGACAGACATTTCATTAGAAGTACTTCTACATATAGCACATGTGATCATTATTAACTTTGAAATTTAAGAATATTTGTCATGCAGTAGGTAGACTGCATACTTATGTGAAAATGATCATGTTTATTTTCAGTGATCTTTGGAATTGCTTCAAGGGAAGAAAAAAAATGGAGGAAAATTATGATTAATATGATTACAATTTTTATAAAAATTTCATCAGCTTCACAGATTATGATCACTTTCATTTCCTTATTGTAATGGAATTTTAGTCAAATATACTTTTGTCTACTGATTATGCCACCAAAAAGAAAAGTAATATTGATATGCAGTCTTATGAAAATAGTTAACAAGTTCTACAAAGCATGATAAATACATGTATAAATACTTACTTCAAAGTTCTCACTGAGTTCTTGAGCTGCCTTCAATTTCTTCTCAACAACTGAAACATATAATACAAGTAGTCAAACTTTGTGTGAAAAATCAGTACACGTAAAAAGTGATCAAAAGATAAATAGAATGTATACATTGTATCAATCAATGATCTTTTTTTTACATACGGCTTTTTTAATATTTTAAATGTATCATTAATTTATTATATGTACTTGACCCATGTAAAGAATGATAATTATAGGCATTTATGCCTGCTGTTTGATCCAATTCATGTTTAATGCATAAAATATTCATAATTTTTAAAACAAAAGAAAGTTTTCCGTGTTTATTGACACGATAATTATAAATCTTTACTCAAACTGTGTGGTCAGATCTTATCAGCAGTATACCGTCATGTCTGCCTCAACCCAAAACAAAAGGGGAGTCAGATCGCCAACAACAAATTTGTTAATCATTCCACAAAATATTAATTTCATTTCCAGTAATTCAATTTTCTTCTCAACACTGTTGATGTTGCATCATTGACATAAGTTCAATTTTTAATCCTAAATCACAAGTTTTTTTGGAAACAAATCATCATATTTCTTTATCTGGTGAATAAAAGTGGGGGAATGAAATTCCGTTCCTTGGAGAGTGATGTACAATTAATCTGTATTAAGCTTTACTATAGGATAGCAAAATATTTAATGCAAAATTTTGCATACAATACTGATGTAAGTCAGTGATTCATCTTAAAACGGTAATCATTGGGTCCAAAGGACCCCTTTTAATGACAACAATGAGTCCCATGCCAAAATCAATGTGTCCAAATTCAAGGGTACTGTTTGTTAGATATCACATAGGAAATTCTGGTGAAATATAAAAAGGTATTTCATAAAAGTGCAAATTTTCTACTGTAACTGTGAGTGGTTTATACCATCATTTGGAAGTAAGAATATATGATATATGAAAGTAATATATTGTCAACTGTGCTGCTTGGTTCTATTTTTAGATCATAAATATGATCTCACAAATAGGCTAGCTTCAGTCATAAAATACACAGAAGCAGGCCAGCAAATTAAGTAGAGAAAGTTTTAAAAAAAAAAGACAAAAGAAAAATAAACAGAAAGAAGAATGATCAAATACTTTTTAGCTTATTATACTTCTAAGGAAAAAATTAAATGATAAATGTTACAACTAAAATACAAATACAAATGTATACGGTTCAGAAATGTTCCAAAGTAGACATAATGAACTATGCTATCTAACTTTCAAATATTTTCTAATAATTGCTTATTAACTGCAATTTAACAGTGAAGTGTGAATTCTGACCTATTGTTGGCAACCTCATACCATGCCTATCACTAAGCACATGGATACGATGCAATCAACCAAGTTTTGAATCAGATTGTACCGAAATAATATAAAACAATACATGTCTTTTATAATTTATTGCACCCAGTGGGATGCACATTTATTGAAATAATGCCTCCTGAGCAACACTGATGTGTAATTTAGGATGCAGACTAGTGTTGCAAAATTGGACAAATTTTACTACTGCTTATCAAATTGAATTGGTAGCACAGTGATTCATTTTGATGTGCGTCCTGCGTAAATTACGCACAAATTTTTCCCAGGACGCATTATTTCAATAAATGTGCATCCCAATGGACGCAATAAATTTATAGAAGGACATGTACTATTTTAAATTATTTCGGTATAATCTGATTCAAAACTTGACTGATTGCATCATATCCACGTGCTAAACGACATGCATGAACGATTTTAACAGGTAGGTCTACAAGGTTGCCAACAACTGGTCAGATTTCACAACTCAAGTTAAAAGCAATTGTCAGAAAATATTTGAAAGTTAGATAGCATAGTTCGATTATCACTGATTATGTCTATACAGTGGAACGTTTCTGAAGCGAATACTATACATTTGTACCTTCATATTTAAGCTGTAACCTGTATCATTGGTTTTTTTTTTCTTTTCGTTTTTTCCTTACAAGCTAAGAAGTATAAAATTTTAATTTAATCATTTTTATTTCTGACTATTTGTCATTTCTTCTTAAATTGTTTTATTTTCCTCTTTCTGCTTCTATGCATTTTATGACTGATACAATGTGTGAGATCGTATGTACGATCTAAAAATAGAAACAAAGTGCACAGTGGACAATATATTATTTTTATGACACAAAATCAAGTACTCTTACTTGGACAATTGATAGTAAAAGTATAAATCACTCACAGCTACAATAAAACATTTGCACTTTCGTGCAATACACTTTTTTTTATTTCACCAGAATTTCCTCTGTAACATCTAATATACGGTCCCCTTGGATTTGGACGCATTGATTTTGGCAGGGGACTCATTGTTGTCATTAAGAGGGGTCCTTTGGACCCATGATAACCATTTTCAAAATGAATCACTGGTAGCATACAATCGATTATATGATAGATATTTTGAACAGTCAACTTTAATTTAAAAGGTAAATAAAATAGCGTTAACCATGAAATATTAAGATATCCTCATAAATGAAAACAATATTTCAATACAAATCTGTGAGACTAACTTCAATTGATGCTTAGTGGGAAAATTTATCCGCCATTTGTAAGAGAAATAGAGGAACATCCCCTGATAATGTAAGAAGATATATAAGAAAATATTTTGAAAAAAAAATTTAGAGACTATCGATTTTAAAATTTTCTATCGATTGTTGCCAATGTGCTTCCTTTAGCAACGATTTCTCAATAGTCAGCAACTATCGTAACAACACTAATGCAGACCAAAATGAATGGCTGGTTAGTACTGAATGTTTTATTACTAATTTGGACTTTTTTTTTATAAGAGTCCTCAGAGGTCTGATACTTACTCCCTGGGGTGGGATCTGCAATGAGAGCAACGTATGACCTGAAGGTCGTAAGCTGACCTGTGACATCATGGGGGCTCAATGGAGATTGCAACATTCTGAACTCTCAAGGTCTGAAATAGATTTTATTCATCAAAATATAGTGTTATTTTTAAGCACTTTTCCAGCATTTTTAAGGTCATTTTTAAGCACTTTTGGACAATACACTAATGCAAATATAATAATTCCTTCTTCTAATTAATATATATCATACTAAGTTCTATCTTAATTATCTCTAAAAGTAGAATATTTTGCATCAACGACAGAATATGCTCTAAACGTGTTATACACTGAAATGTGCAAAATGGACAACTTGAGTTTTTCAAAATTTTGGGTTGACATTTTTTAAATTTAACTTCACATCTTAATTTACCAGTAAATGACCTTTCTTTACCATTATGAAATGAATTTAAAAACAAAATCTGATTGAAATGTTTCAAACGTTTCATTACAGTCACTGTTGGAAGATGTGCTTTTTATTCCTATTTTCCAATACACTTTATTCACGTGTTGCAATGTTCTTCCAATTCAACCTGTAATTAAAAACATGGCCAAACTTTACAAACACACGATATCTATATTAAGTCTTAAAAATGCGCGTCATTTTCAATCAAAAAACCATTAAAATACGTCAAGATTTCCTCTGTGAAAGTTTGAAATTCCTCAAGAAAAGATTATTTGATAACTTCAAAAACATCTTAAATAAACTAATCTGAAAAAATACATACCATAATTTCCCTATAATGACTTATGTTCGCTCCATATTGAAAGGTTAATTTACTTAATTCTAAACAAACAAAATTAACTTGAAGAGGCCTTGAAGAAGGTGCCATTTTGATAATAACTTTTAAAACCTCTGCGAACAAATAACGTTATTCCGTCAAATAGTATTTGATCATCTCTTAAGTTATTTATTAATTTCAAAACAATAAATCAATTAATTTAACATCATTTGAATTCAATTATATATAATTATATATAATTTTTTGGGTATCTTAATCTTTTTAATATGATAATCTATCACTTTCAACGGATTCATGTTTCCATCTATGGTTCAGATTTTATTTTTTAAGTAAAGCGACATCTGTCGGACGACAGAAAAATTAATCAATAAACCAAATTGTTTGCCCTTTCAGAAGACAAATCACACGACATTACAGGTTTTAAACATGCCTGATGACTAGTCTCAAGTATATTTATTAGATATGGCCAGGTAAATATAGAAAAAAAAAATGAGCTTCACTTTTGATCCTCTTGAATGCTGGGAAAATCTTTTGAGGTCCATCTAGGGGGAAATGAGGCCTAAGAAAGGTTTAAAGCTAACCGATATATCACTTGCATGTTAGAAACCGTATTTTTAGAGATGATGTACCTGACTATTAAATCACGGGGAAGTGCAACGCATGTCGGTCGTATGACTTTTCATGAAACGGGCCCCAGAACACTTGACCATGCAGGTTGTCCAGATTTTCAAAAATATGGTCCAAATACCCTTGATTATAACGAATTTGTACCCTATTTGCTTCCTTGATGCTCTTGAACAGAAAAGAGATATTCAAAGAAATAATGAAAATATGCAATGTCACTAAAGATTCAACTCATCCCAAGCCCAATCGCAGCTCGGAAAGGCCCTAGACGTTGCGATTTATCCCCAACCTAACACCAGAACCCCTGACCCATGTAGGGGCAATTAAAGTAACAATTTTAGAAAAGACACCTTTGTTCATCATTACTATGTACTTATTTTTTTCTGCGAAATACCCTGAAGCAGAGAAGATTTTCAAAGAATTAATGCATTTACACTATATATAATCAATAGAACACCCCCCCCCCTTTCGTCCAATCCTCTGACCTTGTATAGCCGCAAATTTCAAATTTTGGAAGAAGTGCCCTTTCTCATCCGTTCCTGTACCCTGCGCACTTAAAGTTGACACGTGACCATGGTCAACAAGCCAAATATCAGGGACTATATACTAACTATATTAGTATATAAGTCCCTGCAAATATAGAAGGAAAAAAAATCGTGTGCCCAGATTGAAATCCAGAGAGAGAGTTTGGGTTATTTGATGTGTATTTTTATTTAGAAATCGGGATGAGTAAAAGTTTCGATCCAATTTTTTTTTTATTTCACCATACTGAATAAAATGTTTTATGAGTGTATTTTTTTGACATTTTTCATGCTTTAAATAATACACAAGCAGAATTACTGCTACTTGCACTAGAAAACGGTATTTTTCGGTTTCTTACTTGATGTACATGTACGTATTTCAGGTAAAAACCTAAGAAGTTACAACTTATTTAAACTTAAGGATATCCGATCCTCAATCAGGAAGGATAACTCTTTAATTTATAATTTTATTCAAAAAGTCTCAAAATGAAGTTTGAAATTGAAATCTTTTCATGCAACAATTTTTCACAGTCTGATTAAAACCAGCCCCCTTCTCCTTTCATCTGACGAGTGAAAGGAGAATTTTAAGGGGGCTGGTTTTAATCAGACTGCAATTTTCATTTTTTGCGTCTCAATCTGATTCAATGCTCTTTGAAGTTCTTAGAAACGGTAATTAATATCCGTACCCCATAAAAGCATTTAAAAAATTACAAGTTTAAAAAAATCGAATTTCCTTTAATCTAGCCGTAAATACCAATGTTTATTAGCATGATTAGAAGTGATTAGTGTCGTTTTGCAATGATAGGAAGCGCTTTATACACTTTGCATTATAAAATGATTGAAGTAAATAGAAGTAAGTATAGTACCGTATAAAAAGCATGAATTTTCTTCAAAAGCCTGGATATTTATAATTTTTCATCCTAAAATGTATTTGTTGATCAATTTTCAACTAGAAAATGCATAGTAGGTGTTTTTATTCGCATTTCCTGACAATTTATTTGAGATCTGCTATATTAATTAGTCACATATATCTTCCCAACATTCAAAACAGCCCATTTTTATTTGTCTGATATTATTTCCCCTTCCGAAATGTTAAAAAAAAAACAACAAAAAAACAAAAACAAAAAAAAAAAAAAAAACAAACAAACAAATCATCACTCCTCCAGTTAGCAATGTGGAATATTGAAGGATTTTCTAATTGCAAACAAAATGTATGTAATTTTTGAAGATAATTTTAAATTTTCATATCCTTGGTTTAATTGAAACCTGGTTAGAAAATGACAATAAGTGTAATGACCTGCCAGGATTTGACTTAATTGTCGCTAAAACAAGAAAGAAAAAAAAAAACGGAGAAATTCTGGAGGGGTAAGCATTTATGCCAAAATCTCCATTTCCAAAGGTATTACAAAATTAAAATCTAATAATTCAGATATATGTTTTAACAGTTTTTTTGGTTTGCCAAGAGATATTTATTTAGCTATTATTTACATATCCCCTGAAAGTACATCTTGTACTGTAGATAATATTGAAACATTTTATTCAGTCCTGCTAGAGGACATAGTTAAATTAGCAAAGTTGGGCATATAGAAATTCAAGGTGATTTTAATGCATACACCAATACTATGCCTGATTTTGTTTTACATGATGAATTATGATGATGTTTTTTATAAATTGATATAAATTTGCCTAGAAATAATCTAGATATCAAAAGAATAAATAGTAGACTAGTGGTACAAACATCTTTTAAGGTCATAGTAAATGATTGTCTTTCTGGTGCTAGATCCATTGTGACGTCATAATCAATTTTAATTTCTTTTTCCGGTACTTTACGGCTCTAATAGAATTAGGAAGAAAATAAAGTATTTTCATGGAATTCAAAACATTGTAAAAAGTAATCCCGATACTTATATTCAGTTTAATATTATTTTCAAGAAGAGGTCAAGAACATACAAATTACCGTTTTCTGAGAGACTACAGTGTATATGCAATCTGGATACCTTTCATTTGTCTGATATGGAAAAAAAAACTCCCATATTCATGACTGGTTTTCTTAATTTTTCATTGGAAATGACAGTTTAAGTTATGATTTTTCGTCTTCTTTACCTACAAATTATGCCCAGAAACACCTTATTTGACCAAGCTAAATTAAGTTATAAAGCATCATTAAAGGAATTTATTTCTCATTTGAGAAATCTGTAAGCACCTTTCATTTACTAGATCAGACTTTAAATGTTTGCATCCGTCACAAATGCAACCCATGCCATATCCGACGAGTTTTTGAATTCTGTTATTCGTGAAAATGAAATACTAGAAGCTGTAACAAAAATAAAAAAAAGGTAAATCCCCTGGAGTTGACAATATCCTGAATGAACATATTTCATCAACGTTAACTACATTTATGCCAGTCTATTTAAAAATTTTTAACATCATATACGAAAGTGGTTTTGTTCCCGAAGAATGGTTGATTGGTTTAATTAAACCTATATATAAAAACAAAGGAGACCCGACTAAACCTGATAATTACCGCCCCATAACATTGCTTAGTTGCTTAGGAAAAGTATTTACTTGTATTTTAAATACTAGATTGGAAGCTTATGCAAATGAAATTAATCTACTTAAAGAAAACCAAGCTGGTTTTAGGAAAAATTATTCCACACTTGATCATATCCTTGCCTTACAATTTTTATCAAATATCTTGATGCAAAGAAAAAAGAAACTATTTTGCGCCTTTGTTGACTTTAAACAGGCATTTGATACTGTATGGCGAAACGGGCTTTGGACCAAGTTACATATTAATGGTATAAATGGTAAATGTTTTCAATAAATTCAAAATATGTACAAAGGTGTTAAATCTATGGTGAAAATAAATGGGATGTCCACAGAATTTTTTAGTTGTAATGTAGGAGTAATTTAAGGCAGGGAGAAAATCTTTCACCTTTTTTATTTTCAATGTATATTAATGATCTTGAAGATTTTTTACTGAGCAAGAATATTGCAGGCTTACAAAGTATTTCAAGAACCATTGAGAACGAATTACTAATGTATTTTAAATTGTTGATTCTCTTTTATGCGGATGACACTGTTATTATGGCTGAATCAGCCGATGAATTACAACATGCAAATCAATAAATTTCAGACATATTGTTTACAATGGAAGTTGAAAGTGAATGTTGAAAAAACGAAGATTCTAGTATTTTCAAAGGGTCCTATGTTAAAAAGAAAATTTTATTATTTCCTTTTGTAAAACAAAAAAACACTTATATGAACAAGCACAAAAAGCGATGTATGGCATTATAAGAAAAATTAGACAATTCCAATTACCAGTAGACTGTCAATTTGACCTTTTTGATAGAGTTGTAGTTCCAGTCTTACTATATGGCTCTGAAATATGGGGCTATGAAAATCTTGATATTATTGAACGTTTGCACTTGAAGTTTATAAAGTATGTATTTAATTTGAAAAGTTCCACACCATCGTACATGGTCTATGGTGAAACAGGTCGCTTTCCTCTGTATATTACGGTATATTGTAGAATGATTTCATATTGGGCAAAGCTTTTTTCAGGCCCGCCAAATAAAATTGTAAATGTTTTATACAAACATATGTTTAAACTGTACAGTGGTGGAAACTTAACAAACCCATGGTTAGACTGTATACAGAAAATATGTAATATGTGTGGTTTATCAAATGTTTGGTACGAACAGGGTGTCAATATGAATTATAAATGGATAACTGCTACTGTAAAACAAATATTACAAGATCAATTTATTCAAAAGTGGTCTAGTGACGTAAATAATTCTTCAAAAGGACAGATTTACAGAACCTTTAAACAAAACTTTGGATCTGAACATTATATTGATAAGTTATCTCCTAAATTTAGAAAAATATTTATAAAATTTCGAACTGCAAATCATCATCTGCCAGTAGAGACTGGAAGATGGTATGGTATACCACTGTGTGATAGAATCTGTACACTTTGTAAAAATAATCAAACTGCTGATGAATTTCATTATAACTTAGAATATAAAACTTTAGCTAATGTAAGAAAAAATTACCTGGGCAATTATTATTCCCACAGACCTAATGTTATTAAATTTATGGAATTAATGTCAACCAAAAATGAAAAAATGCTGAAAAAACTATGTATGTTTATTTTAAAAATTTATGATGCTGTCTGTCCTCCTTGATATATTTTCCCCTCTCTTATTTATTTATTTTCTTTTTCAATCATATGTCATGTTTTTTGTCTTGTATATGTACCTCTGACCAGATTGTATATAATGTATATATGTTGTTAATGAACCCCATGTACCAATATTTTGGTTTGGGTGAATAAATTGAACTTGAACTTATAAAGAAGCAGGTCTAAGAATCCTGAATGGTCGAACTACGTGTATTTATTTGATATATAGACCAACATGTTTTACTTATAATGGGTGTAGCCTTGTAGATTATACCATTGTATCAAATGAACTTTTACAATTTATAGGATTTTTTTTTTCAAGTAGAGGATTTTACTGCTTTGTCAAATCATTGTCCTATTGTATGTGGTTTAATTATTAAGTGTAACACAGAGTGTACCAACCCATCATCAAAACTTGCTCCTTTACCAGGCAAGTTAAGCCATTAAGTTGTTCAAGCCTAACATTCAAAGTGAAACTATAAAAAGTAAAATTACTAATTTCATGAAGAAAGATTTTGATAATAATATTAATAAGGTTGATGATTAACTCAATTTTAATTGAAACAGCCAATTAACATGTCAGACAAATTTGTCTAAAGGAGTAAGAAACAAGTACATTGTAGAAAATTAAAAAAAAAAAAATAAAAAATAAAATCATGGTTTTCAGATTTATGCGAAGAATTAAGAACTTCAGTTAAAAATGATGAAAAATAAGTTAACAAATTCCCTTTTAATGCTGAATACCGAAAAGCGTTTTCATTTCGTTCTCGCTTCAGACGTCGTCAGAGCAGAAACAATGCAAACAAAAGATTTGTACTGAGTTAGAGAACTCCCTTGATTCCAATCCTAAATCATTTTGGAAATTAATTAACAAACTTTAACTTTACCGTTCATCAAAGTGCCAAATTGACGATGTATTACCCCACGATAAGTTTAAGGCTCATTAAAAAAAATTGGATAATTCAAATTTTAATACATTTCAAAGGGAAATTATTGAAAAATGAAGAGCTAAAAAAGAAACAAGAGTTATATTTTGACACAAATATACTGAATAGTGCAATCACATCTAGCGAAATACTAAAAGCCATTAAATCTCTGCATGAAGAATGGTAAATCCCCATCTATTGATCTAATATCAAAAGAAATGATAAACAATAATACACATACATGTACTTTGCTCGAGTCACTCACTAAACTTTTTAATTTTGTATTTGAAAAAAAGGGCGTTTCCTAAAATATGAAATGAAACATTTATTGTCCCACTGCATAAGACAAACAAGGTGATTGAACAATATCAACTCTGATCTAATAATAGTCAAGTATACAAAAATACACTGCTTGTTATATGCAGATGACTTAGTTTTGTTGTCAAGTAGTCCTGATGGTCTACAATGTAGCCTAAATATTCTTGAAAATTATTGTGTTGATTGGAAGCTAGAGATTAACGCGTCCAGATAAAAAAAATGTTGTATTTAATTGTAGTGGTAAAACTTTTTAAAACCACATTACTATTAATGGTATCTGTATTGAAACTGTTGACAAATATTGTTATCTTGGTATAAATCTTAAACGTAGTGGCAAATTTAACCTTGCTGCAGCTCAGTTAGTGGATAAAGCCAGAAAAGCTTTAGTCAAGATAAAGAAAACCCTTGGAATACATAATTCCTGTCGATTACTTGAAAAATTGTTTGATACTATTGTAATTCCCATTTTGCTACACGGAAGCGAAGTTTGGGGGTATTGAGTCAGTCATAAAAAAAAATCAGGCTCGGCATCTTATGAAAAGTTTCATATTAAATTTTTAAAAGATATCTTAGGAGTTCATTGCAAAACTTCAAATATGTTTGCTATTCTGAACTCGGGAATATTTTTGATTTTTTTTTTTTTATAATATGTAAAACTTTAAAGATGAAGTTCAAAGAATTACCGTGGGTAAATACACATCATTTTGAGAACTCAGAGATATTTTTGTGAGCATTTTCAATAATTCAACGTCTGATTTTCAGAACCTGAGGATCGGACTGTCTTAAATTAAACACCGCTAATTTTCTGAAGTTTAGATTTTCGAGGTAAGAGTTAAAAAAAGATTATAGTACGCCGAGTTGTCCTCGTCGTTATAAAAAAAATCATTGTCGTTTATTCTCCACTGGCGACGAGGATGAACTAAGACAGAAATATATATAGAGACAGTCTGAACTGACATTTTAGGTTAAATGAAATAAAATAAATGCATGTTTTTTATTCCAGAAAAATGTAAACAAATTAACAAACCTTTCTCTCTTATAAAGTAAAAAAATAGGTATTTTTTGTATGGAATGTTTTTGCGTTTCTTCCTGGTTATTCCTATATGGTTTTATACTTGATACTTTATATTTTAGTAAAATTGATTAGTAAATTATGTGATATTTTTTCCAATTTAAAAATGGCGGAAAGGATTAAGTATTAAAAAAGTGGAAAACACGTAACATATAGCTTATGGCAAAAATCAATCGCGAAAAGGCGATGTGGAGTATTTGCGAAAAAGCAGACAGGTTGCGAAAATAAAATCGCGGAAAAGCAGGATGGGGGTGGGTGGGTGGGTAGAACTTATATTCTAAGCATGTAAAAGGTTTCTGAGTGAGTCGTTCGAAAAAGCCTATAATACCGTCCACATGGACTACAAAGACGTTTTTACATTCTTTTCGCATGGGATTCTTTAAAATTACATAAAACACCTATTTCAAAATGTTTATAATAAATCTGACTGTAAGAAAAATATAATGTCATTATAGTTTATATATCGGGCCTTTTCAACAAGGCCATAGAAAATGATGTAAAATAAATATATTTGTTTATTAGATTTTTTTTAATACATGCTGTATACATTAACTTATTCTGGTTAATAAACCCAAAATTAAACCACTGTCATGGGTTTAAAATTAATTACTCCATTTGTTAAAAATGCTTTTGAATTTATTGAAATATTTAATATACAAACATGGGGTTGGGTGCCGACCAAAAAAAAAAAATCTTCTCAGCTCCAATCCTCTATCAAAAAAATCTGGATCCGTACCCTAGTTATAGTATAAAATCTGAAAATTCCCGCTCAGAATCCTAGGATCTCATCTAACGAAGGTTGCGATTAAATTTTTGATTAAATATTAAATAACCCATATAGATATACTTTACATAGAATGTCTATAAAACAAAAATTGTGTATATTAATATTGTAAATGACATTGACATGTTTGGATGTTTTATTTTGATTTTTTATCTCAATCTCTCTAACTTCCGGAAACAAAGTATCCTGAGCGGGAATTTTCAGATTTTATAGAACCGTTCCCTAGTTACACAATCTCTAGGCTTGAACTTCAAAATGGCGAAGGCTGACGTGTTCCAGCGAGGACCACTCAGTTTCATGTGCTGGGAAGACTGTTTTCCCCAAGAGGCTTGGGAGAAACGCAGGAGAATGAATGTAAGTTTTTCTTCCAAGTCATAGCTACAATTCTACATACATGTATTTTTATGAAGCTAGGAAAATTAATGGCCGGGGGATGTGGATGGATGGGGGAGTAAGGGGTAGATTTGTGGTTATTTACTCCAACTGACAATTTGTTCACGAAGTTATTGTACATGTACATTCAGCAGATTGTTAACTTAACTACTTGAACGAGGAACCAACCTATAAAAATTGTTTAACAGCCTTTCATTTTCAGCAGTCTTCCAGTTTCACTCAACAGCTCAAGTCGACTTAGGTCTTACCCTAGGTCAAGTTCATACTTGGTGAATTTTTTGTACCATCAAGGAGTGGAACGCTCTAACCACCTCTACTGTGATAAGTCTTTAGCTCGGTTTATTACTCACCCGTAAATAGACTCTCACAATTCAGGCAAACGCAACAGTATCGTTTTCGAAAGGGATAGAGATGGGGAGGGGCACAGAAAAAGAATTTCAACTTACATGGAGAAAGTTTGACAAGCAAAAAAACTGTCCAAATTCGAAAAATTCTATTTCTTGGCTGTTTAGGAGGGGGGGGGGGAGTGAGGGTTGGTCCAACTTTTTTATTTTTATTTATACATTACCTACTTTAAGTATACTGCAACAAAAACGGGGGGGGGGGGGGGATGAGCCTATCAAGGAACATATTCAATAGACTTAGTATAAAGTTTTGTTTGAAAAAAAGGAAGGGGGCTACCTACCCCGACCCTCTCCCCTGGATACTACATTTCTGATTTCAGCAATTTTTAGCTCACCTGAGCTGAAAGTGAGCTTTTTTGATAACCTGTTGTTTGTCATCCATCCATCTATCTGTCTATCTGTAAACTTTTCACATTTTCAACTTCTTCTTTAGAAAGAATCAATTGCCAATTTTTACCAAAGTTGGTACAAAGTATCCTTGGGTGAAGGGAAGTTTAAAACTTTAAATTGTGAAAATGAAGGGCCAAGCCCCTTACAAGGAGAGATAACCAATAAAAGATAAAAACAGGCTGGGGTCATTAAAAAATCTTCTTCTCAAGAACCATTAAGTCAGATATGATACTTATGTGGAAGCATCCTAAGCTAGTGTAGATTCTAGGACATTTAGCCAAAAAAATTGTTCAAACTTAAAGAAAAAGACTATTTCTAGGAACTTGGGGGGGGGGGGGCACCAATTTTTTTTATTATGGCCAAATTTTATGTATAAATTATGATGATTACCTCATTACCTACTTTCACTATACTGTATACTGAATCAAAAGGGGGGGGGGGGCAGGTAACGAGCCTATCAAACGAATGAACATTTTCAATAGACTTAGTATAAAGTATTGTTTGGAAAAAAGTGGGGGGCTGCCCCCTCCCCTGAATACTTTGTTTCAGCAAATTTCTAGCTCACCTGGGGTGAGCTTTTCAGATCACCTGTTGTTTGTTATCCATCAGTCCATCTGTTAACTTTTCACATTTTCAACATCTTCTCAAGAAACACTTTTTACAAAGCATCCTCGGGTGAAGGGGAGTTAAATTGTGAAAATGAAGGGCCAAGTCCCCATACAAGGTGAGATAATCAAGAAAAGATAAAAAACAGGTTGGGGTCATTTGAAATCTTCTTGTCAAGAACCACTAGCCCATGGGCCTCTTGTTTAACATGTACACTCCCAACAGTGGCATAATAGTCCACATTCTACATGTTCTAATTTCTTATGATGGTGTCTGGCCATTAACCAGTAGAAGTTTAAGTACACTTATTCAGGCATAGGTCCATGATTTTTTCCAGGGAAGGGTCCCATCCAAGAACACACCCCCCCCCCCCCAAGTCAAACTGCCCAATTTGTTTCATAACTGAAGAAAAAACCCAATCAAACAAACAAATAAAAACAAAAAACTCCTTTCCAAAATGTGAAAAACCTATTTAGTGGAGGGGGAAGGGGGCTTTTCTTCCATTCTTTAGCTTCAACATCATATATGTATAGTTCTCAATTCTTCATAGGGAGTTGGCCGCGTGGCGGCGAAGTGGTTAGAGCATTTGCTCTTAAGAGTCGCAGAATAAAGAGCTGATCCTTTGTTTGTTTATAAATATTACTCTCAAACCATACAATGGTACATGAGGTTACATAGCGGGTTTGAATCCACTGCCGGATGTGGAAACCAGTCCCTCAGATGAGTCCGTATAAACTGGGGTCCCGTGTCACAGTAGGTGTTGGCACAAAAAAGATCCCTCACTGCTCATAAACAATGGTCCTGAGTGCTGAGTTTAGGTATAAATTTTTAGCCCTCTACTGGCAAGTGGTGGCATCTCCATATGAGTGAAAAATCTTCAAGAGGGACTTTAAACAAGCAAACAAACATTCTTCACAGGGGTCATGTTTTTTTGAGGATGGAGGTCCAAAATCCTTTATTAGTTATTTTATTATGAAAATTTAATACCGTATTTCGGGGGGGGGGGGGGCTTGGTCCCCATTACCCCCCATTCAACCCCACCCCCTAAAGATCCGTGTATGTGGGCACTGATAAGTTCTCTGGTTTTAATAAATTACATATGAATCCAGTGCAAATGCCCATCAAGTTAACCAAGATTGATGTCAAAATTTATTAACTTTTGCTAACTGTGTTTAAATCTTTTGATATTTGCAGAGTGTATAATTTCATATTTTGAAAAATTACTTTCTTGCTGCAAGACTTGTTTGTCAAGTAAACTTTACCTTTGAAAATTCTTTTTTGTTTTTGTTTTGGGTTTCAACTGCTTTATTGTACTATTTTTTGAATGAATGATATTCTTTACTGAACTTTATTTTATAAGCTCCAGAAAGCAGAATCAAAACCATCAATGCCTCCATCTGAACCAGTGACAACTCCCAGTGTTACAAGCAAAATTAGACACGTGAGCAACTGGGTTGCTCAACATTCAGCTCAATCATCTGAGTTGCAGTATGAACAAGGTTGCAGTGGTACGTATTATGTACTGTTTAGTTCAAATTTTTGTACTAGAAATTTAAATCTGTAATTTTATTCAAGATCGTCTTGCATTCATTTGACCCTTTTCATGAGTGTATTCATATCTGAACAAAATTGATTTGGATCAAAATTGAACTAATTTTATGTACTCATTATCCATTTACAAATATTTCATGATCTTTTTCATTATATTAAAAACAAGATGTACGTGTTTGTGAAGCACTGATGCCCCCGTATGGCAACATATAGCAAAGGTTAAACTTTCTCAAATCCAAATCAAATATGTTGGTATACCCAAAGTAAGGTCTTGTCTCAAAGAATATACATGTGAAAATTATGAAAGCCCTAGCAGCAACCATTGAAAAGATATGGTAAAGGGAAAAGTTTTTCAAAAGTGAGTCAAACATCAAGATCATGGTCAAATTGTCAAAATTCATGGTACCCAAAGAAAAGGCCTTCTCACAAAAAGTACACTTGTGAAATCCCTAGCACCAACTGTTCAAAAGTAATGGCCAAGGTTAAAGTTTTTCAGAAGTAGGTCAAACTCCAAGGTCAATGGGTTACAATTGTTGGTATATACAAAGGAAGGTCTTGTCACAAGGAATAGACATGATATTAATAAATAGAAAAGCTTTCCAAAAGTAGGTTAAACTCTAAGATCGAGGTCAGAGGGTCAAAGTTGTTGGTATCCAAAGGAAGGACTTGTCACAGGGATTACATATGTGAAGTATGAAAGCCCTTGCACCAACCATTCAAAAGTTATTGCCAGGGTTAAAGTTTTCCAAAAGTAGGTCAAACTCCAAGGTCAAGGTGAAAAAGGTCAAATTTGTTGGTTTCCAAAGTAGGTCTTGTTACAAGGATTACATTTGTGAAGTATGAAAGCCCTAGCAACAACTATTCATTGACAAAAGTTCTGGCCAAGGTTAAAATTTTCCAAAAGTAGGTCAACCTCCAAGGTCTAAAGGTCAAAGTTATTGGTATCCAAAGTAAGGTCTTCTCACAAGGATTACATATGTGAAGTATGAAAGCCCTAGCACCAACTGTTCAAAAGTTATTCCCAAGGTTAAAGTTTGATAAAATTTTTGGGTCAAACTCCATGGTCAAAAGGTCAAATATGATGGTACTCAAAGAAAGGTCTTGTCACAAGGAATGCACATGTGAAATATGAAAGCCATAGCTCCAACTAATCAAAAGTTTTGGGCAATGTTAAAGATTTTGCAGACAAACAGACAAAAGGGCAGCCAGATGGACAGACAGGGCAAAAACTATAAAAATGCTATCTTTTATTAAGAATTTCAACTGTGTTTGATAGGAATGTTTACTAATAATTAATTTTTGAAATGATTGTAACCGTGCATTTCTTTTCAGCTGTAACTTAAGCATCCTCTAAATAAGAGTCTTGATAAATTTATTTTGATTAATTTAGAATATGGTTTAATTTATACTTATCTTAAAAATTCTTCAGGATATTAAGATTACACTGTAATCATTTATTGATAACTTCTTGAAATACACTTATAAGCATACGTATGATCATCATTTCAGTAGGATCATATTTTTTTTCATTTCAGGATCAAGTTTATTGCTTTTATAATGATGAAAATAGAGAATATACATGTATTTTTTCTCTTTTATCCCTGTGTGTCTGACTGGCTGTCCGTCCATTTGTGTGTCTGTCTGTAACAAATTTTCATTGCAGTTTTCTCAGGAACTACTCATCACACATGTTTTTAATTTTATCACAGTCTAATTGTTCAGTCATGCCATATGGTAGGATTCATTTCTGTACTGTATGATTTTGAAGCCAACTTGGTCCATGTTCATCCATGCGTCTGTCCATACCAAATTTCCAGTTTCAGTTTCTCATCAACTATAACTCATGGCAGATGTTTGAAAGTTTTGCAAATTTTTGTTTAGACATGCTATGTGGTGGGATTTAGAGGAGCGTATTTTTACATCAGAGAGAGGGTATAATTAGTGAGCATTGGTTCACAGACTTAATTCTTGTTAAATTTCCACTACACAAACATTTTCACGTTTACAGCTTCCAAAAGATACAGCCCCTCACTTAGTTCTATACAAAGTGAGAGCAGTGGCTCCACTAATAGTAGTGGTAAGTTATTATATAATCCTTTTCAATCCAAATACAAATTTGTTCTGAATCAATGATTGTATTCATACGTTCTTTGTTATTTAGTATAATTTTGGGAAAGCAGGAAATATTTTATTAAGCTGTCTCTGAGTAGCAGTAGCTCTAGTGCCAGCTCCTTTATTATTTAAGGAGAACACAGTTTGTCGTTAGTTAGTTAATTATTGACCTTTGTCACCCATGTTTGTTTGAGTAATTAATCAGTGATTGTGTTTATATGTTCTTTGTCATTTTTTATAAAGGCAAGGAAGAATACAGGCACTCAAAACCATCAACACCTCCATCTAAACCAGTTACAACTCCCAGTGTAACAAGCAAAATCAGACACGTGAGCAACTTGGTTGCTCAGCATTCAGCTCAATCGTCTGAATTGCAGCAAGGACAGGGTTGCAGTGGTTAGTATTTAATATATTTAGTTCAAATTTCTGTACTAGAAATTTGAAGAAATTAATCTGTAATTTTGTTCATGACCATCTAGGCTTGCATTCATTTTAACCTAGCTATGAGGGCCTTTTCATATTCTGATCTGAACAAAAACTGATTTGGATTAAAATTGAACTTTCAGGCGCGTAGCCAGGCGTACGTTTGTACACACAAATGTCCACATTATTTTTGAAAAATAAGGAGAGAGAGAAAGGGATGTGTGTGTGTAAGAACTGCGAACGATAGTATAAGTTCTCCCACCTACCTCCAAGTCAATTTTTAAAAGTTATTACATTTGAATGATTTTTCATATCTATATAGATGTTTATATGAATTTTCATAAAACATTACTTCTTTGGGAAAACAAAGAGAGATAATGCTATAATTTTGGTAACACTTGTGTTTTTCACTTAAAATAGAAATCAACAGAAAACGGAAAATATTTTTAAAACATCTTTCCCCCTCATGAAACAAAAATTCCTTTTTAGCTCACCTGAGCTGAAGGCTCCTTTTGAGCTTTTCTGATCAAAATTTGTCCGTTGTCCGTCGTCGTCGGCGTTGTCGTTGTAAACTTTTCACAATTTCATCTTCTTCTCCAGAACCACTGGGCCAATTTCAACCAAACTTGCCACAAAGTATCCTTGGGTAAAGGGGATTCAAGTTTGTTCAAATGAAGGGCCACGCCTTCTTCCAAGGGGAGATAATTAAGAATTTGTGAAAAATTAATGGCATCATTAAAAAATCTTCATCTCAAGAACCACTGTGCTTGAAAATATGAAACTTATGTGGAAGCATCCTCAGGTAGTGTAGATTCAAGTTTGTTCAAATCATGACCCCTGGGGGGTCGGGTGGGGCCACAATGGGCGATCAAAGTTTTACATATGAATACATAGGAAAAATATTTAAAAATCTTCTTCTCAAGAACAGCAAAGCCATAATTGGTCATATTTATATGGTAGCATCCTCAGATAGTGTAGATTCAAGTTTGTTCAAATTGTGACCCCCGGGGGTCGGGTGGGGCCACAATGGGTGATCAAAGTTTTACATAGGAATATATAGGAAAAATGTTTAAAAATCTTCTTCTCAAGAACAGCAAAGCCATGATTGGTCATATTTACGTGGAAGCATCCTCAGATAGTGTAGATTCAAATTTGTTCAAATCATGACCCCAGGGGGTCGGGTAGGGCCACAATGGGTGATCAAAGTTTTACATAGGAATATATAGGAAAAATCTTTAAAATTCTTCTTCTCAAGAACAGCAAAGTCATGATTGGTCATATTTAAATGGAAGCATCCTCAGATAATGTAGATTCAAATTTGTTCAATTCATGACCCCCCCCCCCCCCCAACACTTTTATATTTAAACTTTTCAACCTTTCAAGACTGAACTGATTTCTGCTTTTTTCTAGCCATAGTGCTCAGGTGAGCGATGTGGCCCCTGGGCCTCTTGTTACATGTAATATGGACTGTCATTTCACAAATTCATTACCAAAGCTTTTTGTGTTTCATGGGGGGAAACATATGTTTACAGACAAAAAACTACAAAAATGCTTATTTTTCACCAATTTCAAAGGGGTTTACAACTAAAACATTGCACTTTATTAATTATGTCACCCCAGACGAAGTCGGGGAGACATATTGCTATTGTTTGACCAATAACGCGGCCGCACAATATCTCGAAGACGCCCCAGTCAATCTTGATGAAATTCCACTGTCATAATGATCACTAACTAAAGATGTGTAATCTTTCCTCAAAATTTTCAAAATGGCAACCGTTCCCATGGAAACTGATAAAAAGTGATATTTTTTAAATTTCATCTTTCTCGGCTTCTTTTAATTAAATCTTTTTGAAACTTTAAAGAAGTGTTCCTTGCCTCCTGTCAAAAAGATTTAGGCAAAAAAATTGGAAAAGGATGGATGGAAAATACAAGTAATTGAAGAAAAGTTGATGCACTTGACCAATTTTGTGTTAAATTGTTAGTGAATCCCGTCCTGCAAGTTTCTTGAAAATGACCTGGAGAAACTTACTGAAACTTTATAGAAATGATAATCACCAACTGTAGTTCTGCTAAAACCCTTTAAAATTTTCAGTTTTGTCATTGTTGCCATGGAAACAGACAAAAAAACATATTTTTTAAATTTCGATTTTTTTTTCCTGCAATTTTTCATAAAATCTGTTTTGTAACTTTAATGAGTTGTTAGTTGCCATCCTATCAAAGTGATTTCTGCAAAATAATGGAAAGAATGGACAAAAAGAACAATTAATTTTTTAAAATCTGCAATCGAGTCGTCTATTTCGCGATGTTTTCGCACTTGGTTTTGTCCTTGAATGTTCTCGCAAAAAGCTTTGACAACATTATTGAAACTTTCCACAGAAATAATAATCACTATTCGTAATTTTGCAAATGTCATTTAAAATTTTTTCCACCGTTGCCATTAGAATAGAAAAAATAATTTAAGTGCAGTTTCCTGAAACGAATGGCCAAAAAACGTTGTGTAAACGTTTATATAATGTTTCAACTTTTTAAAATTGCAATTTATTCAATTTCTTTGTCTCCCTAATTTCCTTTTCCGTAATATAGTCCTAGGATACATAAAGGCTTGTCTATGAAGCTTTTATATATTACCAGTTTCTTGATATGATTAAGAAGAAAGTAAATATCTTAGCATATTCCAAAAAACTTAGGACCAACGTTCCCTTAAACACTACATTTATGTAGTTTATGGGGACTCTATTGGAGTAATACATACACTGTTAAGTATGAAGTGCAGAGTTGTGACTTCTCTGGTGACAGCTAGGGAAGACACAGAAAACCTTCATATTGTCATAGCAATGAGTTTCTATTAAAAAAAAGGATTGTATGTGGTATATATATCTTGTGGGCGCATTTAATTATTTGTATTTACCTCTATTTAGTATTTACGTCATATTTAGTATTTTATCCCCCTCCCTTCCCCCCTTTTCCTCTCTGTCATTTTTCTCTAATTGTTAACAAAGCAAGTTTTGTTTAATGTCTTGGATTCTGAATAAAATGACCTTGACCTTCATATTACAAACAATCCTTCATCATAAAGTTTTAAAAAATGCTAAGGCTTCACACTTACTACAATATGATGGTAAATTTTCAATACACCCCCCCCCCTTCGAAACAGCGAGGTAGAAAATGCAGGTATAATCGATAGGGAAGATCTTAAGGGTTTCGTGAATAAAATTCAGTGCCGCTGATGTGATCTGATATTTTACCAGCATTCATTCTTCTTCTGTTTTTCTACAGAATTTATGATTATTATATTTAATACATGTTCTGTTTTTTAGGTCACCTGAGTCACTCAGGTGACCTATTGCTATCCTTTCTCGTCCGTCGGCGTGCGTCGTGTGTTAACATTTGAACATTTTTAGCTTCTCTGAAATTGCTTAACCAATTTCAACCAAATTTGGCATATAGCATCTATGGCTGACAAAAATTGTGAATTTCATGGTCCCTGCCCCCCTGGGGCCTGAGGGTGGGGCTAAATTAACCACCAAAAATAATGCAATCTTTAAAAATCTTATTCTTTACTCCAGGACATCAAGCAGTCAAACTGTTGGCATCATTGTAATAAGCATTGAGCCCTCTTCCAAAATAATGAAATTCATGGCCCCAGGGTCAGGGGTTCTGGCCCATGGGTGGGGCTATATAGATCATATAGTGAAAGTGCATTATTTCTTTGAAAATCTTCTTCTCTGCTCCTGGGTATTAAATAAAGTAACTAAGTACATAGTTATGATGAGCAAGAGTGCTTCTACCAAAATTGTGAATTTCATGGCCCCAGGGTCATGGGTTCTGGCCCCAGGGTTGGGCTATATAGATCATATAGCTGCAATAATGTAGCCCTCTCCGATTTTTTTTAATCTGATATTTTCAGGAGAGGGCTACAATTCCACTGCATCTCCGTAATGGTGCAAATATATTTTTTAGATACGGGCGACTGCAGGCAAAATAAATTGTTTTTGCATTCAACTTACTTCCAATGAGGCGGAATTTTTATTCACTATCAACATCATAGCCCTTTATACGCGAAAACCAAGTAAAATAAATCTGCGTGTTTACCAGTCGTTCTCCTCAGCAGCCATGACAGTTCTCGCGTGATGCACTGAGACTTGCGCTTGAAATTTAGAATCACTTGATAAAGTAAATGTCGGTGTTGATAAATGTTTGTGTTGTATGATATCACTAAACATCGATAAATAATAGCATTCCATGGGATATTTTTTCATAAACAGTGATATTTATGCTTAAAATAAGGGAATCCTCAACTATCCGCTCCCCTAGATCCCGTATTCTCATTGGTTGTCCCAAAATAAAATCGATCAAGGTCAGTAAACATGGCGGATAAATTCAAGTTGTGATGTTGACATACACGAAAAATAACCGATATACGGATTGTTCTGTATATTTTTGGATCAGTTCATGTCTTGCATAACTACATTTTATGAGTTCAGGTAAGATATGTTAATAAAATACCCACTTACTGATAATTTGAGCCGAAATCTGTGCGGTAGTGAATCACTCCCGCACTTGCACCATTACGGAGATCCTAAGGAGTTGTAGCCCTCTCCCAAAAAAAAAAAAAAAAAAAAAAAAAAAAAAAAAAAAAAAATCGGAGAGGGCTACATTATTGCAGCTATAGATCATATAGTGAAAGTGCATTATTTCTTTGAAAATCTTCTTCTGTGCTCCTGGGTATTGAATAAAGTACAGACCCTGAAACGTGCTACTACCCCACACGCTCGCTGCACGAACGGTACACGCTCGCTACACGGTTTGCACGAAACGCTGCACGGTTTACACGAAACGCTACACGGTTTGCACGAAACGCTACACGGTTTACACGAAACGCTTTGCACGAAAGGCTGCACGGTTTACACGAATGCCTGCACGAAACGCTTTGTACACGTTTCTCACACGCTTTGTACACTATTTTCGCACGC